GATATTTCCGACCTCGCTCCCTGCGTGTTTATTTGTCATCCGTTCCGAATACCGCAAAACCTTTGCATGATCCTCCGGCACGAACTGGTTAATAGTCCTTGTTTCTAATGTCACCGTGTCAGGTAGTTAGATGATTAATCACGTAAATAGGGTCAGAGGCGTCTGTCTCCAGGAAAGATCAAGACATCACCGACGTCAGCAGGCTTAGGCTTAAGTAATATTTTCTCGGTCATGTCCGCTTGTCTGTCGATAGGTTAGGGTACAAAAGGATGACGCTTCACATTATACCTAAATGTTGTCGTAAATTTGTTTTAGTATTGTTCCATTACATTATTATACACCATTACATAATTCATTGCATTTTGCTCTGTATAATAAGTTAACATGGCATTGTAACATTTTAAAGTATGGAAATGGCAACATTGAAATAAATGTTTCTACTACTTTCTACTAGTATATATTCTCCCCACTGGTGGGACAGACGTATTTCCATACTGCGGTTTGGGCACTGGCGCGGTGAAATGACTTTATATTAATCCCTCCATGTCTTTTTCATTTATTTTAAACATAGTTACTTTTAACGTCGATATTGTAATGTGCTTAAGATGAAACAGAGCAATTTAGAGACGTTGGGAATTTTAAGGTTAGGGAACCAGTCTAGCTGGCTTGTACCAACTCATAGGCGTGTAATCGATTTCAAACAAAAGGCGGACTAACTAATTATGGGGCAGTATTTGAAAAATAAAACCATTTTTTTTCCCAGCGTTGAAAATTGATACATAAATGTAAATACCACTTTTCTTGAAAATGACGGCACACTATGATTGTACTGCATGCTTTAGACTGTCATTCACTAAAAGTCCAGCAAGGTATTCCATAATAATTTGGTAGTTATTGTTTGTTGATGTTTGCAAATGTTGTATATTCCCTTGAAGATAATCGTCAAACGTCATATTAGCATCACAACATCAAATGTGGTATCAAATTATTAAAAGGGGACAACAAGGCCTTACATTTGAGTAGTTTCCCAGGGAGATGGAATGAGGTTAGGTTTTGGGTTTTCCCCCAAAAACCCCTGTGAATTTTAGCTAAATTATGGACCTAAAAAAAGGTACCTTAGTTTAAAAGGTCTAAGACTTCCTCAAGGAGTTCTGAAGAGGATAACCACCAAGTACAAGTACCAAGTAGGCAAAATACAAGAGCTATTGTGAGTTTTTGTTTCTAAGGCAGAGAGAAAAGTTCATATTTTATGCCACAACAGGTTTTTTAGTAGTGGGATAATCATCAGGATTTTTAAAATTCGATTTGAATTTCACTATTCGGTTTGAATATTGGAAACCGTCTATTCAAAACCAAGTAAGAAATTAAGCCTCCAGTTTTTAAGTGACACAAGCTAAAGAAGACAACTGGTACCCTGCCCATTTGACTGATATTTTTAACAATTAAGAACTGGTAATGCCCATTAAAAGGAATGTACATCATTGGCTTTTGCTGGTGATTTTCAGAAATGAAGTATTTGAGGGGTTAGTATAATAGATCAAATATTGTTACACAGACATGTTTGAAGTTTTGTACTCGAAAATGCTGGGAAAAAACCACGAAAAACATAACGTTCAAGTAGTCTAGTTCCCTGACTCCACTAAAGATGAAATGGATCAATTAAAGGGAACCAGTCTAGCTGGTCTGCACCCGTTCATGAACATGTAACCAATAGCAAACAAAATTTGGACTGAAAAAAAAGGTAAATTTGGAGCAGTAGTTGCAAAATAGTTAGGTTTTTCCAACGGCGGTAGGCCGACCACCGTTGGAAATGTTTAGAAAAGTACCATTTTCTTGAAAATGACTTCACACCAGGTGCCATAAATTTACAGGATGCTTTAGACTGTCATTTACCAACATCCTAGTAAGGTATTTCGTAAAAACTTTGTAGTTATATTTTTGGATGTTAGCAAATGTTGTATACAGTCAACTCTCGTTATAACAAGGGCAATGGGACTAGCCAAATTACCTCTTTATATAAACAGGAATGTTGTTATAAAAGGACAGCGAAACAAAGAAACACAAAGAGAACCTGAGATTTGGGACTTCAGAATTTGCTCTTTATAAGCAGAACCTCTTTATAGAAGTGCTCTTTATAATGAGAGTCGACTGTATTCCCTTTAAAACATTGAAATGGTATCTGCCCAACATCAATACAATTTGTGTATTCATTTATTAACCTTCCCGCACAAGTTGTTCTCTTATTAACTTATGACACTGTGTCCTGAAGAATGCCAGTTCACATCCAATTCTACTAAATTCCTTTTTGCCCAACCAACCTTGTAAGGTTTTATTTCCCCAAAACACTTGTGAACTCTAGACTTATCCTCATCAAATGATGGATCACATTTGAAGATCCGTTTACTTCATGCTCTGCTTCAAAGCAGAGCGCCTTTTAAAACGCCTCTTCTAGTTTGATTTAAGAACTCTGCACTTTTCTTAATAGCAACGTTGTCGCGTGGGACGGCACGTCCCTGGCTAATATTTCAGCCGAGTTGATGCGGAAATAGTCATTCGATAATTCCACCGACTGGGGTGCCTTTTCCTTTCTGCAAAGTCAATGAGCCAATGTTTCATCTCACGTGTTGTTGAGTTGATGGCTTGACAACATTGCGATTCCACATTTCTGGAATGACCCATTTCGGGTTAATCGTCAATCTATTGATTGAATGTTTTTAATACTGCTCATGCAATAGACAGTTCCAGACGAAACCTTCTCGTTTGTTTTCCATCCATCAAAGATTCTTCCGACGAAGTACTGAAATTTCTGTCCCTGGAAACTGAAGCCGCGACAGACAAATCAGAACGGGACGAGGAACGATCACGAGCAGAGAATGCACGAAATATTGGCATACCTGCCAGGTTTTGTAGCTACAGCAACACCAACTTGTAACAGTTGCTATTGACGCACACTGCAGTAACATAAGATGAACAATTGGAAAGACTTGAAAATCAGAAATAAAATGTTGATGTTTTTCATAACATCGGGCTTTGTATCTGGCTGAAAGATGGAACGTACAGGAACCCACAAACTCAATGCTGAGAATGATTCCATGATGTCGCAAGTTGACGATGAAGATGTCCCAAATGCATTCTCCACGTTTGTCATCGTCTTCATGTCCGTGGCGATTGCGCTGAACTTGTCCCTGAATCCTCTGATGCTTTTTGTCCTGCGTCGCGTCGCCAGCATCCAATCCACCACCAAGATCTTCATGGCCTCTCTCACCCTCGCCGATTTTCTCACAGGCGTGTCATTCCTTCTCAGACTCCAGGAGCTGATCGCGGGGCGGTGGCTGCTTGGTGATTTTCTCTGTGCGTGCAAAGGCGCGATAGAGACGACCCTAATGATGCTGCAAGTTTTGTCTCTTCTGCTTTTGACGGCAGATCGTTACATCGCCATCAGCCGGCCTCTTCGGTACCCAGCCCTTGTAACAGTTCTCAGAGCTAAACTCGTGATTTCCGCCACCTGGGTGGCAACTATCGTAGTGGGTGTCTTAATCTTTGGGATCTTCACTCCCCAAGCAATCCTCAAAGATGACCCGCAGTTGTGCATCTGGATCATGTTTCGAAATGACTGGCGGATGTACACCTCCCTCGTGGGCGTTATTCTTTCACTTGCCGTTACAATCTTCATGTACGTCCACATTTTTCTCATCGCGCGTCGTCACTTGCGACAGATCTTGATGGCCGAAGCCCGTGAGAACCAGGCATTACCAAGGGAACAGCGGCAAATCCGATCAACTCTAACCGTTGCCATCATAACGGGAACTTTAATGCTGACCTGGCTGCCTTATGCCATCACGCTGCCGATAATTTCGGCTCAAAGCGTCAGGATGGAACTGTGGGCAATCAGTGTGACCGACACTCTCATGATGTCCAACGGCTGGCTAAATGTAATCGTTTACTACCTGCGCAACAGGGAAATACGGAAGGCTGTGCACGATTTGCTATTGGCCTGGCGACGTTGTCTGTTTGACCGCTGTGACGTGGGCCATGGTATATTTAACACTTGAGTGTGGTGTTAAACATATTTAACACCGCAGGGGTGCACGCACGTAAGGTAAAGAAAGCATTATCAGAAGCAGCAAACTTAGGATTTGTATACAGTTTCAAATATCCTGGTGTTTATCGTCTGTCATTTCACCGCTAATAAACAGTTACGTAAATAACATGGATACCAGTGACACATGGGTACCAGTGATACCTTTCTCACAGTACGTAAACATCTGATGTCATTTATGTGAATTGTAGCATTAATTAATGTGCATTATTTCAGCAGTGATAATGGTGGACGGTACAAGCGGCATCACTGGCTCGACAGAGATTCTTACTAATGTGGCATGTGACTTTTCTGACCAATCAAATGACAGAAACCACACGGACACCATAAACCCTATTAAAAAAATAGTCTAACGCACTTTATGTCACATCAAAGTCATGCTGTAGCAGAAATGAAATCAGTCAGCATTATGGAACACATATTACACAGAAAAAATTGCGTGAGTGAAATCAATGTTTTGTAGAAGACAGCGTCAAAACTGTGAAGTGTAGTAGCTCAAGCAGATTGTTTATTAAAAAGTTTTACATGTTGTCTATGCCATGTCACTGTAAAAAAAGACATTCTGTCTCAGATTTTTGGTATGAGGAAAATAGAAAAAATATTGATGTAAATAAATTTGTGAATCCAATTCTATGTAGCTTGAAACAGAAGAACAAGAAGGGGGAAAAAAAGAAAGAAAAATCAGAACAAAAATCAGAACAAAAATAAAGGCATGTCCAAAACTCTCCAGAAAAAAAAAGAAACAAAAATCAAAGCAAAAAACAAAAATTGTTCTGTGTATATCTGGAAAAGCCAACAATCAAAATAAAACAGGTTCTTTTGATGTCTCTGGAGAGGCAATTAAAAACAAAACATTTGTCCGAAGAATAAGAAAAATGGGAAAAAGCTTTTACAGACTTACTTTTCGAGGAGTTGGAAGGATGCCAATTTCACCGAACGGTCCGTCTTGAGGAGTACCGGGCACAGCCGTTCCAACAGGATGTGGATTGCATTCTGGGTAGCCGCAGAATCGCTAGACGCTTGCGGGGAACCGGGCACCTTCCCCGGTCCCTCGGAGAGCGCAGACTTTGGCGGGAGCGTGTGTTTCTTGAGTTGCTCTGGGGGCATTTGGCAGATCGCGTCCGAAGCGGACTGAAGCAGGTGATGCCGTGCGACTGTGAGTGAGTCGAAATCTGTCACCTCTATGTACATGAAAAATAGACATAACATTAAAGGCATATAGGATCATTTAGTCTTCATGCATTTTATTCTTTTCCAATAATAACACCACTCAAAATCCAAAGACGAATGTTCAACACCTAACCTGTTGAAGTTTCAGCTCAGTGGATATTACACTTTTCGAGAAAACTGTGAAACACAATGCACAACTTTTGATTGCGAAACATGATTTCGTTAATAGCACTCCTGATTTCCAAAAATCAGTCAATTGACTGATCGTTGGAAATCACCTACATTTCTTGATTTTTTCGAAATGATAGCAAGCCAGACGGAATAATTTCACAGGGTGTTTAGTACCAGTACGATCTTAAATCCAAGTGAGGTTTTTGATAATAATTTGCTCAGTTACTTTTGGGATAAATGCAGATGATGCCTTTTAAAGTCACATGTGTGATGTGTTTATGCAAAATAAGATGGTACTGGGAACATGGTAAACAAGAATTGTTGTACTTGCTTTAAAATTAAAACAAAGTCGTGTTTATACATTATAAAATCACGTCTCATCTGCATTATTATATCTTATTTTACTTTGCTGGCCTTTTTAATTGTTCCCAAGTTAAATTTATTTAATATACATACAGTACCTAAGAACACTTTCCTGGATGTTATGATTTATCACAGTTTATATGTTACTTGAATAATTTTGCACCAAAAAAATATTGTCAACGGTAAGGCCACAAAAAAAAATACTCGGTCTCTGGTCAGCCCGTGCGTCGATTTTAATCATGAGCGTCAACCTATTTTTTTTCTTCAAATTAACACGGAAGCTACAACAGCGCCCTCTATTGCCGCACCTCCTTAATTTTTTGTACCAAGGAGCACCAAGGAATGGGGAAATTGCACCAAGGCAAATAATAAAGGGCACCAAGGCAAATTATGGAAGACACCGATGTATAATGAGGACACATAAAAGCAAAATTGTACACAACTTGTCTGTATAATTCAAGCTTGAAAAAAAAAAAAGCCACCAAAAAAAAAACCGCGTCGCCGCATCAATTCCAGAACTTCGGTCTGACCAGAGACCGATTATTTTTGGGGGGGGTCTAAGAAGGGGTGCGTTGGGGGAGACAACTGGGAGAGACATGCGAACGCAATGCCGATGACACTTGATGCTCATGCGAAGACGAGAGAGGGCGATGTTTGACCACTTTTGTGCGCCACATGAATGGAACACAGAATAATTTGTCAGGCGTTAATATGTGCGGGGCCAGTAAGCGCACCGGTGTGTCCCATTCATTAGGCTCACACAAAAGGTCAAATATCGCCCTCTCTAGTTTGCGCACGGAGCCCATTAGAATACTGAATTAGCTTATTCTCAAAAATCGGGTAGTCTAAATATACGAGGGGCTACTGACCTACAATCGTGACAAACAGGGGTAGCATTAGTGTGAACACTTTGTCGCTGAAGAATTCTCTCCACTCCGTGCAGAGGTTGGCTGGGAGGGATGAATGGCCGGCGGGACTGCCCAACAAGGTCACGGCAGAGGTCAGAAGGTCAAAGGTCGCGCAGAGGAACGCGGTGAGGAGAGTGGAGGGCAAGGCGTGGTCTATACTCTGGCTGCAGGTCTGCGATGAAACAAAAGAGAATGAACCTGTTAGCAGCTGTACATCAACTCAGTGTAATACATTGTACTACAGTATAATACAGTGTACTACAGTGTAATACATTGTAATACAGTGTACTACATTGTAATACAGTGTAATACATTGTAATACAGTGTAATACAGTGTAATACAGTGTACTACAGTGTAATACATTGTAATACAGTGTACTACATTGTAATACAGTGTACTACAGTGTAATACATTGTACTACAGTGTACTACATTGTAATACAGTGTAATACATTGTAATACAGTGTAATACAGTGTACTACAGTGTAATACATTGTAATACAGTGTACTACATTGTAATACAGTGTACTACATTGTAATACAGTGTAATACAGTGTACTACAGTGTAATACATTGTAATACAGTGTACTACATTGTAATACAGTGTAATACATTGTACTACAGTGTAATACAGTGTGATACATTGTAATACATTGTAATACATTGTATTTATTCCCTGGTGTATCCATAAACCAATATGGTGCCGGGGTGGTTCTGGGCGGTAAAGCAGAGTTGTAGTCCAGTTCATCACAAGTCCAATCACAAGTAAATCACAAGTCCTGTTGCAAGTAAGAGTGGATGAACAATAAAGGAATCCTTTTGTCAGGTTCGGCTTGCGATGGGCTTATGATGGACTTGTCATGGCCTTGTGATTGACTAAAGATGGACTTGCGATGGACTTGTGTTGGACTTGTGCTGGACTTGTGATAATTTGTGTGATAGACTTGTGATGGACTTGAGATGGACTTGTGATTGACTTGTGATTGACTTGTGATAGACTTGTGATGGACTTGTGACGGACTTGAGATGGACTTGTGATTGACTTGTGATTGACTTGTGATGGACTTGTGATGGACTTGTGATGGACTTGTGATTGACTTGTGATGGACTTGTGATGGACTTGTGATGGATTTGTGATGGACATGTGATGGACTTGTGACGGACTTGAGATGGACTTGTAATTGACTTGTGATTGACTTGTGATGGACTTGTGATGGACTTGTGATGGACTTGTGATTGACTTGCGATGGACTTGCGATGGACTGGTGATGGACTGGTGATGGACTTGTGATGGACTTGTGATGGACTTGTGATGGACTTGTGATGGACTTATGATGGACTTGTGATCTATTGCAATTCGGACAGGGCCTCACCTGTATCCAGGCTACGATAGAGCAGAGTATAAAGTCCCACGTCGAATCACTCAGCGCAGTGGGTAATCTCTCCACGGCTAGTCTGACCAACTGCATCATCTTGATATTGATGAAGACGTCGTCAAAAACAACCGTCTCACGAAAGTCACTGTCAACAAAAAATACAAATATTCTACTACCTGTAGTGAAAAAAAAAATATTTTTCCAATATTTCAGAGTATGAATTCACATTTTGTTTGGTGCTTAAGCTTGATTTCTGCTGTACCACCAAATGCAGGGCGAGTCAAAAAAACGAACCCAAATGTCGGGACCATTGTTTTAGTGAAGTTCTGCATGTAGCACTTTCAAAATCTAGGATATGAAAGCCCAATTCATAAGCTTTCTTTTAGTACAAGAACCATTCAAATCAATCGTGTACTTTTTCATTTTGCTGAAAGAACACTTACCTTTTTGTGATCTGTGGACAGAACCTTAAAACGGTGGTTGTGTTTAAAATTCTGCTACTTCAAAATTACATGAGTGATTTGAATGATTCTTGTACTAAGAGAAAGCTTATGAATTGGGCTTTCATATCCTAGATTTTGAAAGTGCTACAAGCAGGACTTTACTAAAACAATAGTCTCAACATTTGGGTTTCATTTTTTTTTACTCACACTGTATTTCAGAGTAGTAAACTCTACGAAAGGATTGAACTTTACCATCCGAAGAGGAATCTGTCTGGATACTCCTCCCGCCATTTCACGAGTTGCTGGATGCAGCTGGCCACAATGTCCCCCTGGCTCGCAGCATCAAAGCTGTCTTGTTTGACAATGGCTGCGACAATCGACATGCTTCCAAGACCGCCTGCGAAGGGGGGAGAAAAGGTGGTCTTAAGGATCACTTACAACTCCTCCAATATTTATGAGCCAAACATTCGTCTTTCATTGGTCGATGTAGTTTGTTAGTAACCAGTAACAAACGTTGACATTTTCTACTTAACGTGTTAATTTTCTTACTATGATGCCTAGTTAAAAAGTTACGTCAAATAACCGATTTTCGTCAAAATCCAAGATGGCCGCCAAGATGGCCACCAAATTATACAAATAACGCTTTTAATCGATTCCTCACACCCAAATTACCCAGGAAAACATGTTTGTCTTCCTATGATGCCTTGTTAAAAAGTTACGTCAAATAACCGATTTTCGGCGAAATCCAAGATGGCCACCAAGATGGCCGCCAAATGAACCCCATGGGACAATATTTGATCTTGGGAACATCAAAATTGGTTCATTAGACACCTTGAGGATTACAAAAAAGTAGGTTAAAAAAATATATCCAGGGAATGCATGGGAACCCTATATTCTTCCCCACCTAACTGCTCCAACATATTTTGACCGATTTCAACCAACCTTTGTCAAAAGTGTCAGTAGCCCAGCCCCAACATGTCACATGACTAAACTGGGGTCAAAGGTCATCATAGGGTCACTGGGGCCAAAACCAAGAAGCAAGAATTCGTTGGCCCGCAGCTTCCGAGATATTTCCGATTAAGCTTGTTGTTTTATCATCAATTTTTCAAAAACTAGAAAAGTTGCAGTTTGGATTTGTGCAATGTTTTAATATGCATATTGCTAAAATCAAGATTTTGATGAGTGCACTGGTAGTTGGTACATAAGACTGGTAACTGCATGTTTTCACATCAACACTAGAGAGTCTGGGTTGTGCACAAAGCCATGGGGGTCAGTTTACCGTCAATATGGGTCACCATCTCTCCTTCAGAGGACACCAACTTGGCCGTGTTGATCTCTAACAGCTCAATAGTCTGGTCCCGGCCCAGGTAAGGTAGAAGTGCTTCCAAGGTGTGAATTGAGGGTAACGTCAAAACTGCAAACCTGGTCAAAATATGAGGGAAACTTACGAATTAGTGTACAGATATTGACTACATGAACTTTGAGTGGTGAAGTAAAACTAGCCTCCGGAGGAGATCCATGGAGCGTTCTGGTTTACCGAGGCAAAGCCGAGGGAAAATAGAATGCTCCATGGATCACCGAGGGAGGCTAGTTTTACTACACCACGAGATAAAGCAGTCAATATTTGTTTTATAACGCCTCTCCAACAGATTCTGCTTGATCTGAAGAGATAACTGATTAATTCAACCAAAATCCAACTAAACTTTAACTCTATTTCAATATGAAATTTATAGTTGAAAATTTATTTCCATTTTTCCGTACTACCCTCTCATGAAATGTTTACACCCAGCTCTGTAGCATGTGGGAACAATACGCGCAAGGCCCACACACGTGCACACCCACCTCTGGTTGCTACGTTGGTTGCTATGTGTATAGTACTTTTTCAGTGGTTTAAAAGGGAATGTACAACATTTGCTTTTGCCGCAATTTTCAGTAATAAATGGATTTTGAGGATTAGTATGTTATAGCAAATATTGTTACACTGACTTGTTTCACTTTTTGGGTTCGTAGATGCTGGAAAAACCAAGAGAACCAATCACATTTTCTAGTCTGGTTCCCTGACCCCACTTAAGATGAGACAGAGCAATTTGTAGACTTTGGGAAATTGTAAGATCAGAGAATCAGTCTAGCAGGCTTGTAGTCTTCACAGGTGTGTAATCAATTGTAAAGAAAATGCAGACGAACTAAATATGAAAATTTAGGAGCACGTTTTGAAAAAAAAGCCAGTTTTCTCCAACGCTGGTCGGCTGACCGGCGTTGGAAAAATACGGTTTTCTTGAAAATGTCAGCACACCAGGAGCCACAACTTTACAGGATGCTTTATGCTGTCAATCCCTAACAATGCAGTAAGGTATTTCATGATAATTTGATCATTTCATTTTTTTGATGTTTGCAAATGTTGTATCTTCCCTTTAATAGTTTTTCTGATCATTGTATAGTCTTTTTGACTGTGCACAGCAAGATAGTAAAAATTACGAATGCCATGTGACTGGCTCTCGGCCAATCAAGATACAGAATCTGTGGGTGCGGTGTTTTAATATACAAACAAAATATGGTTTGAGGGTGCATGCCTGTGAATAGGCCAAAAATCCATCCGCTGAGCTCGTGAATAAAAGTTATACCCTCAAAATATTCTATATTAGAGAGTTTGGAGAGCCATACAATTGGGGAATTTAAAAAAAAATATGGCAATGAACCTCTGGCCCATACTTGGGACTTCCAATTCGAAGCATTTTGGAAGCAATTGAGCTCGAAAGTGGCGCTATTTTTTTTCATGTTGTGGAGGGATCGTTTTTCAAGATGGCTTTTCCACTTTGGGAAAAATAGGGGTCGTCTTCTTTGGGTGAGAATTTCTCGAAAAATCAATGGTCAACCCACCAAAAAATGAAAAGAGAATGAAAGATGACACATTGATCATCATTTTTCTGTGCAGCTTGAATACCTGTGAGAGTTCTGAGTAATTTTAAAAGAATTTGGAAGTATGTGCATTTAGCACTAGTGTCTATGGGATTTTCTTTTGCAGGGTTGCACCCTTGAGGGTTGATAGTCGATACTATTTGTGCGTAGGCAATTCCGAAGATTTTTTTTCATAATTAACCAAGCAGCCATTTTGTAATCTTGTGTAATTTCTTGTGAAAATTCCATTTCAATCTGCTGTAGGAGCACGCACGTTTATTCAAAAATGCCTGTGCCTTAGATGCGTAATATACATGATGCGCCTTCCTATTTCCAAAAGAACTTACCGGTCAGAGCCCTGCGCCATTTCCAGTAGGTCTAGTTCCCTTCGCTTTCCCTGGTACCTCGCGTAGCAGCTCAGTAGGTAAAACAAGGAAGAAGACCACAGGTTACCAGCTATCAGGGACCTGTTCAAAATAAAATAAAAAGGGGTGTATTTTACAACTGCAGAGTTCAGTAACTAAATTTTTCCAGCTGATGGCCACGTAACGGAAGTTGAATTTTAGTGCTCCGAAACTACAAAGATGATACAGTGCACAGACCAACTGTAGCAAAAGAAATTCTGCTCTCTAAAAAAATCATTTTAAAGTCATAATTAGTAAAACGGTACTTTTCCCTTTTTTTAAGGGCAATTCCACAGATATCAAAATGAAAATGTTAAAACTTCATAAAAATCCAAATGCCGCATACAACACGTGTATATCATTTTCAAGCTTACTACCTGTATTTTATTGAGAAATGGTTTGTTTCTAACAACGTTCGACAATTCAGCTGTTACTTTTAACTGAAAAATTAAATGATAAGTACAAACAAAATTCAATTTGTCTGAGTACGTCTGACACCACGGTGTTTCGAGCCAATTTTTTATTATTACAGCAAAAAAGTTGGACGAATAGGTTTTTTTTTAAATCATTGTAGAAACTGATAAGTTTTATCACTTTTCTTTACACAGTCATGAATTGTACAATATGTACATGTGCCTCCGACACCGTGTCGTGAAACTGTTCTTATCCCAAAATAATCAGGCATAAAGATTTTACAAGATACTCACATTTCTAGCGTCTCGTACACCAGCCGTTTCCAGTCATCATGAGACAGACCCTTCCATATGCCTTCAAGGGTCGCATTAATAACCATGGCAACCTCCGGACAATATGAAGGCATTTCAGTACTAAAAGTCTGTCGTGGAATCTGAATGTACATAAATAACAAGCTATAATTAAAGGCATATAAAATCATTTGCTTTTCATGCATTCTGTTTGTTTCTTTTAATAACACCACTCAAAATCCAAAGAAGAATGTTCAAAACTTAACCTGTTGAAGTTTCAGCTCAGTGGATATTACATTTTTTTTAAGAAAACAGTGAAAACCATGCACAAACTTTTGATCAAGAAACACGATTTCCTCAATAGCACTCTTTTATTTTAAAAAAAACCCAGTCAATTGAATGATCCTTGGAAATCACCTACATTTCTTGATTTCTTCTAAATGTCAGCAAGCCAGACGGAATAATGTCACAGGGTGTTTAGAACCAGTACGATCTTTAAATCCAAGTAAGCTTTTAGATAGTAATTAGGCAGGTTAGTTTTGGGATGAACGCCAATAAACCTATATTCATTTAAGCCATCTTCCAATAAATGTGCTTTAAGGCCCTGTTGTGCCAGTCCTGTTGTGATGCTTAAATTGTATATGCTTGCTAAGCATGCTAAGCCAAGGACGCAAATAAAACAGAAAATATATCATGGAAAAACATATTTTTAAGACCACGCAATGATTGAAAGTGATGCAAGTTAATAATTCCCCTTGTGATTTATTTGATAATTTGATGATCAATAATATTAAAAGCTATATCCTCTCTGAATGTTTAAAGCTATAGTCCATCATTTGCAGCCATCCGAAAAGTAACTTATTGTTGAAAAACATACTTGGTTGAAAGATAAAAGGGGACTAAACTCCCTGTGAAATTATTCTTTCTGGCAAGCTGTCATCTTGAAGTAATCAACAAAAGACGGCCTTTCCAACGGTAAGACGCACCGTTGGAAAATTTAAATTAGTAGTTCGTTTTGTTATTCGGCGAAGCGCGCGCAAGCATTGGCACGCGCGCGTGGTTGCTATAATTCGTCGGATCAGTGCGCGACATCGCGTATAGCTGCAATCAGCTCGGTAAGAACACGTCTCGGACGCTGAATTCAGGCCCAATTCAAAACATGATTCAGCAACTTTTGATTTGAAATTGAGATCCTAGAATGCTGTTTTTCTCGGAATATACAGCTGAAGCTGAGCTGAAACTTCATCAGGTTTATAATTGTTAGTATCCTTCATTAGATTTTAAACACTTTTGTTGCTTCAAACGAACAAAATGCACAAATTACAAATGATGGACTATATCTTTAAATAACAATCTGCCCTCACAGGTACCCATTCACTCTTAGGTAGGGAGAAGCAATTATGATAAAATGTCTTGCCTAGGGACACAGCCAGGTTTGCTGAATAAGCGCTCACCTGATTGGTCACAGCGTCAATGCCCATGGTTCCCTTACACCACTGCAGTGCATACAACATTCTCTTCAGCACTGGTGCGATGACATCATATCTCCACGGCAACTGCGCCATGGCAACGCATCCTTCAAACTCTTCTCTGTTCTGTTCAGCCACCTCCTCTGCTTCCAGCAGAGGTTTGTCCTCAACTTCAGGGCTGCTTGTCATTTCTAACGGTCGGAGGAGGGTGGCGGCAAAAACGGAATAGACCAGTCCTGTTGGCACGGTAACAGGGTCAAGTGGGGTCATGTCCGGGAGCTCCGTGAATGTCAGGGTCTCTTCGAAAAATGATGAAAGCATCCACTGAAATGAAACAAGTATGCGCCAAAATTAGCGCTGGTCAGTGACTCTGTTTAGAACTGTTTGTTTCAAACTAGCGTTCCAGAGTTACGTTGAACAAACTGACTTGTGATTGACTTGTGACTGACTTGTGTTAACATGTGACTGGCTTGTGATTGACTTGTGACTGACTTGTGCGATGGTACGTGGGTTCAAACCCTGCAAGGAACATGGTGCTTGTGTTCTTGGGCAAGACACTTAACTACAATTGCCACTCTCCAACCAGGAGTTTGACTGACTTGTGATTGACTTGTAACTGACTTGTGACTGACTTGTGACTGACTTGTGATTGACTTGTGATTGACTTGTAATTGACTTGTGATTGACTTGTGACTGACACGTGATTGACTCGTGACTGACTCGTGATTGACTTGTGATTGACTTGTTCTGACTTGTGACTGACTTGTGACGGACACGTGATTGACTTGTAACTGACTTGTGATTGACTTGTGACTGACTTGTGATTGACTTGTGACTGACTTGTGATTGACTTGTGACTGACTTGTGATTGACTTGTGACTGACCTGTAATTGACTTGTAGTTGACTTGTGACTGACTTGTGATTGACCTGTGCTTTACTTGTCACCGACTTGTGACTGACTTGTGACTGACTTGCGACTTGACTTGTGCCTAACTTGTGACTGACTTGTACTAGACTTGCGACTTGACTTGTGACTGAGTTGTGATTGGCTTGTGTCCGAATTGAGATTGACTTTTATTAAAGTGTCTTGATTACAACCAGACTCTGATAATCCCAGCTCCTTCCAATGCCGTACCTGGTTGGGCATGTCCAGGTTTCTCTCCCACTCTGTCTCTGATGGCATCAAGAGCGTCAGGAAGCTCTCCTCGGTGCTTGGAGCATCAGGGTCCAGGCAGGGTGGCAGGCTGGATGCTATGAGGTCCATCAGGGTCACGGCTGGCTTCGCTAATAACTCAATGCTGTGGTCAATAAGCAAAATGAGAGAAAACACAATAATCCAATGTGACCAGCAATTGTTACGTAGGACTTGCGCAACAATTTTGATGAGCAGCCACGCAATAAACTTACAGACAATTTCACAAAACTTGGTGAAGCCGTGCAACATTTTAAATAGTCTAAACATATTGGACAAGGACATAATAACAGCATTTTTTGCAGCTTTGTCTGTATGATTTTGTTTGTTCATTTAACAGTCGTTGAATCACCTTCGCCTGCCCTTCTGAAAATAGTTTTGTCCGACTTCTTTGGAATTGTACGGCAACCCTAAAAACTCTTTCAAGAGTAAAAACGCAAATGATTTACCTCAAACACAAAGCTGTGAGTGTCTTGTACAAACCTTGACATGTTGTGCAATAACAGGCTCCACGATGGTCACAATTTGCTACTAAAATAGTTCAAATTCAGTCGCTATCCCTCAATTTATGTTACCTACAATGATTGAGCAAGTTACGCCATAATTTATTGCGCAAGTTGCTGACTTACGCGGAATGAAACTTTTGTGAAAATGTGTCATATAACTGACATGTTGCGCAGGGAGAAATGTTACGCAACTTTCACAACAAATTGTGGCGCAAGTGGGGTTATGCCACTGCATACGGATCTCACAAAATGAGCCTTAACAGATTTTATCTATTAGTCAATTTTCCACAAGTTTTAAAATATCAGCTCTTCCTTCGCTTTGTAAGGTTAGACAGCGCCCTCTATCCTCATGCACGGAGGCAATTACCCAACGGCCTTACCTGTGTATGTCGTGCGGACCCTGCTTCAGGCTGGCGTTGATCCACGCAGCAGCTTTACACAGAAACCCATCCTCCTTCAGGAACCCCCCTGTTTGCCGGATGAGTGACTCCGCCCCTTTTGTCCATGCTGAGAGGATTTTCTGCTGAACAGAATCTGAAAAGATTAAAGGGAATGTACATCATTGGCTTTTGCTGTCATTTTCAGAAATGAACTATTTGAGGGGTTAGTATAATAGATCAAATATTGATACACTCACTCACAAGTTAGAAGTTTTGTGTTCGAAATGCTGTAAAAACCAAGAAAAAACAAAAAAGTAGTTTGGTTCCCTGACTACACTAAAGAAGAAATGAATCAAGTTATAGATGACGGAGAATGGTAAGGTAAGGAAACCAGTCTAGCTGGCCTGCACCCGTTCATGAACATGTAACCAATAGCAAACAAAATTTGGACTGGAAAAAAATTGTAAATTTGGAGCAGTAGTTGAAAAATAGGTTTTTCCAACGGTGGTCGGCTGACCACCATTGGAAATTTATACAAAATACCATTTTCTTGAAAATGACTTCACACCAGGTGGCATAATTTTACAGGATGCTTTAGACTTCCATTTACCAACATCCTAGTAAGGTATTTCGTAAAAATTTGGTAGTTTTGTTTTCTGATGTTTGCAAATGTTGTATATTCCCTTTAAAAAAAAGGCTTCAACTTAAATACAATCATAACTTGGGAAACAATTAAGAAAGTTCAATGAGAGCAGAAACTCATGCACCATTTTGCCAACACAAATGAACAGAGTTCCTGCACCAGACATTTTGGGGCACCTACCTGGGAAGTTTGTAGCCTCTTTGCAGCCGAGTTGGAACAGAGCCAAGAGAAGATCCTCGGCTGACGATATCAGAAGACAACCCTGCCGGTCAATGAGAAATGAGATAAGACTTCAGACTTTGAACGGAGAAACAACAGCTATTTCGAAAACACATTCAGGGTCAGTTCCATTTTATAGTCCTACTTTTACAATAGCATTCTTAAGTTACTGTTCAGCCCACTGATCTCTACATAAAGACTGGATAGCGGATATCCATACACCATTCACCAGTAGACTTTGCATATTGACCAATTCGCCCCCGGTCTCACGAAGATGGCCGCGTATAATACGAACGTTCTACGCGTACAGCGCGCGTTGTATCAACAGTTGACGCGCATTTTGGTCACATACACATATTATGATGTTCTAAACAGGACATATTTCTGTAGTGATTGTTATTTCCAAAAGACCGAAAAAGTGAACGGCGGCATTAAAAAAGTAAACCACGACGTTAGAAAAATTGTAAAACCTTGGTCAGTGGTCATGGTAAAAATATAAGTTGAACCGCAATGCTACAAACGAAATCATGCTAAAGACAGCAACTTGTCCTTCGTAGATCACCAGCCGGTCTCACCGGCCTCACCAATATGGCGTCAAATTCATTCATTGTGCGGCTCTTTATCCACTATCCAGTCTTTATATAGAGATCAGTGGTTCAGCCACTCTTACTTGAGACAAAGACCTGCAATGGATTTATGATTGAATTGTGCTTGACCCTACAACAATTAAAACTAGTTTTAACAACTTGTTAAAACCAAGACAAAAAAAACCCTGAAAAGGCATAGAAGGTGTACCTTGACGGCACTGAAGAAGTTGGTGGCCACATCACAGATGAAGCTGATACAGCCGTGGACTCTCTGCTCGTTGCCTTCAACTTCGACCTTTGACCTCAGCAGCGTGTCGGTGAACTTACCCAGGATCTGCTCGGCATAGCCGGAGTCAACGGTAGGCTCTGCAGTTAACAAATGAAATAATCTTGAAAAATAGTACTTTTAAAGATTTATTCAGAATGTTACAAATCTTTAAAAAATATTGGGTTTTTTTAATATCTGATGCTAGTTTTCCAGTTGCCCTGGCAAGAAATGATGTTCTACACACAGATGTAAGAACACACACGTTTGTGTATGGTGTAAATCTAGGATTTTCTTTTGTTCCTCTTCCCTTTTCCTTTGTTTGTACTTTAACTTTTTCAAAACAGCTCTCATTGGTTTTGTACACGTTTTCCAACCAAGGAGTCCTCGATTCGGTTTCTGACCTTGATTCACCAATGATGTTGCACGCGTGTGTCCTCGAATTACACCATAAACAAACACAAACATAGCCATACAGCTGTTGCTAAGAGAAACCCCAAATTACTGTTCATTGATTTGAGGGTAACTGCATGTATCCATGTGTTTAAACAAGTGACTAGTGACTTGGACTCAACCTACTGACTCAAACTTGAACTTGGCACAAGTGAATTCTGACTCAGACTCCAAGCGAAGGAACTCAAGACTCACATTTGACTGGTAACACAGACTCAAATTCGAACAGAAGCGACACGTTACTCAGACCCAGACTCAACATATCGGCAAGTGAAATGGCCTTAGTGGCTGGTGACTTGCCCTCAGATACAAAATTAGTGACTCAGTATTTTGACTCTATCCAAGTAACTCTGACTCAGACTCAACTCCCTTGAATAAAGACTTGGGCTAAAACTCACACCAACTGACTCATGACTCAGACTCAAAATAAGTGACTCAGGATTCTGAATCAACCCAAGTAACTTAGTGACTCGAACTAAGACTCAACCCCCTGACTCAAAACTCGGACTCAGACTCGAAAGAAGTGACTCTTGACTCAGACTCAAAATAAGTGACTCAGAATTCTAAATCAACCCAAGTAGCTCAGTTACTTGGACATAGACTCAACCTCTTAACTCGAAACTCGGACTAAAACTCGAACGAAGTGTCTTGTGACTCAACTCAGACTCAAAATAAGTGACTTAGGATTCTGTCTCGACCCAAATAACTTGTAACTCAGACTTAGACTCAACCCCTTGACTCAAAACTCAGACTAAAACTCAAACAAAGTGACTCGTGACTCAACTCAGACTCAAAATAAGTGACTCAGGATTCTAAATAAACCCAAGTAACTTAGTGACTCGAACTAAGACTCAACCCCTCGACTCAAAAACTCAGACTCAAACTCAAGTGAAGTGACTCGTGACTCAAACTCAGACTCAAAATAAGTGACTCGACCCAAATAACTTGTGACTCAAACTTCACCCACCTTCCTCCACCTCCACGGAAAGTCCCAAGTTGATCAGATCCCAGCTCTGCGACACCGACCCCTCCGTTATGCCACCCAGGGCCTGGGAGCATAGCGTATCGGTCAACGCCAACAGTTTCTGGCCAAATACAGCCGACTTGAGCCATGCCCTGACGCAGGCACTGTGAGAGGAATCCAAGATCTGAACATGGAAAAAAAAAATTCAGTTTTAATATCTGAAATTTGGCCTTCATGGACATAATTTTATAAGCAGTGTAAAGTCAGTGCTGAGTGAGGGTTTGTGAAAAGTTAATTCACAAGCTTGCTTATAAAATAAACCAGGCCCTTTTTTATGAAGCTAGTAAGCAGAAAAAAAAATGCTTAGCAAATTTATATATGGAGCGAAAATCAGTTTGGGACCAGTGAGGAGCATTAAACATCACATGATATTTTAGCTGGTAACCTGATTTTGCTAAGCAGATATATACAGCGCTTAGCAAAATTCTGTTCTCCAAGAGTTGTGCCCTGAGAACAAGACTCTTGCTTACTGGTGCTGGGGTTTGCAACTCTTTTAACCATTTCAGAGGGAAAAAAAGTGGCAAAGAAAATCAACAAGTCACAAATTCCAGATTTCAATCGAAAACAAAAAAGGAGTAATTTCAGAGGAAAAATTGAAATGTCTCTCACCTTTCGTATCAGAAGGTACAGCGTCTGCGGCTGACTGGTCCTTTGGCAAAACGCATCCAGGATGGACTCCCTTTCCTCGTCGTCGCAGCAGCCGAATGCAGCCGCGACGATATTCACCACGTGAGGCAGGACCTCCTCCGTGGAGATCAGGACCTCATCTTCATCATGGTGCCTCGCTTCCTCCGACTGCACCCACGGCAACAGAACCTCATCAAAGCACCTCCAGACGATTTTCGACGAGTCCTTTTCATCGATGATATCGGGAGACTGTAATTCGGTATTCACGAAGTCACCTTCTTCACCTGTCTCTAAATTTTCCTCTTCTTCAGGGTTTGATTTTTCATCTGTAGCAGTTCTGCTCTCTCCCATCACCTGTTCCCCTGTTTCTTCGATCCCTTCTTCTGATATCTGCAAATTATCTTTCTCTTTTCCGTTCCCGCTCAACAGCTCTTCAAAAACTTCAACCAGTTGGAAAGAATCCAGAAGCCGGACCATAAACTTCAGGTGTGACAGCGAACTGCTTCGAGCGAGCCTGTTACTCTCCTTTACGAGTTTACGGACGAGGAGGATTAGCTCCGGATGTCTCGTGGAAACTACCGACGACTTGGCCGCTGCCTCTAACAGAACAGGAGACCCATCCTCTGAGAAAGACACGCTACGCTTCTGCATCCTTTTGACCCTCAGCGACTTTTCCGGAAATTGGAGCTGCGCGAGAAGGACTGCCATCTTTTCCAGGGATCTGCTTGGACGTTCCCTTCCTTCTGCCAGACTGACCTCCTCGGTGCAAATACCGTCAAGACTTGTCCAGAACATTTTGAGGGCGTCACTGACCGATGGGGTTTTGTCGAGCTGTTTGCACAGGTGGGTTAGTAGTTTGGAGGTCTGGAGAAACAGGGACGTGGTTGCTAGGTGACTGCCATCATCGGTTATCGACTGTCCAATGAGAGGCATCAGCTGTAAGAGTGATCAAACAAACTTGATTAACTCTTGGATGATATGTGATGGACTTGTGAGGACTAGCAAGGGCTTGTGAGGACTTGTAAAGAATTCTGAGGGCTTGTGAGGACTTCTGACGACTTTGTGGACATGTGAAGCCTTTTAAGTACTGGTGAGGGCTGTTGAAGATTTGTCAAAACTTGTGAAGACATGTGAAGAATTGCAAGTACTTGTGAGCACTTGTTGGGTATTTTGAGGACTTTCAAGGTCTTGTAATGGACCTGTGAGGACTTGTGAGGGCTTGTGAGTACTTGTGAGTACTTGTAAGGACATGTGAGGACTTGTGAGAGCTTGTGAGGGCTTGTGAGGACTTGTGAGTGCTTGTGAGGGTCTGTGAGTACTTATGAGGGCTTGTGAGGACTTGTGAGGGCTTGTGAGGACATGTGAGTACTTGTGAGGACGTGTGAGTACTTGTGAGGACTTGTGAGTGCTTGTGAGTACTTGTGAGAAATTGTGAGGACTTGTGAGGGCTTGTGAGAGAAGGACCTATAAGGATTAGTGAGGACTTGTGAGGACATGCATGGACATGTGAGGATTTGTGAGGACATATGAGGACTTGTGCAGACTTGTGCAAACTTGTGAGGACTTGTCACAGATTGTCACGGATTTGACTACAACACTGTTTACAACTTATGCAAAGCTTACTTCGTCCTGAATGAGGTAGTTTTGCACATTCTGGCTATCCTCGGCCCCATCACCGGTTACCGACTGTGAGATTGCGTATCGTACACACTCCATGTAGGCTTTGACAATGGCGCTGTATTCACTGGCGCTCTGCCGTGCCGAGCTGCATGTAAGGCTGAAATTAAAAATGAAAAAAAACAGCTAATTAATTTTTTTTAAGATTTGATGAGATGATATCATTTTTCCATATTTTGTATTTTTCACTCACCCTTCTTTGATGTTGCCGAAGAACTCTCGGTAGAACATGACCCCTGACCCTGTGACATCACTGGGAACGTGGCTGAGTAGGGGTAGTAGATTAGGGTGTATGACGGTTGCGCTGCCGTTACCGCCCGCCCGCAGCATGGCCCAAAGTTTAGGGAGGACTGCTTTCCGCACATTCACGTGCTCCCAACAATTCTGTCACATTTTCAAAAAAGGCAATATTTCTATAAATTAGAATTGAGTTACACCTTTGTTAGTTCATTACTGGAAAGACTTTGTTAGATTTTTTCCTGAAGCAACCCTTTTTATAGTCTGAGTATCACCCGTTATCCACGGAGCCCAGACTCCTGTCTAACGTGTGATATGTCTGAGCATGCAGATTTATGCGATCTTGCGCCTCAGCCAATCGGAGTCAACTTTACTAAATCGTGACGTCATTTCATTCTCAAATCAGGACTAAACGTTTGATTAGTCAATTTGAATGCAGTGTTTTGTAATGCAACAACAGCCGGGCGCGTTATCGCGAAACATAATATACAGAGCGCATGACGCCAGGCTTTTTAATCCATTGTCTATGACGCCCAACAGGTGAATGACTTAAGACCCGATATAGAAAGCGCCCGCTGATTGGTCAAAATCTAGGAGGACAAGAGGCGGGATCTTGCCTAATTTATCAGCGAATCTGCTCACATATCATAGACCCATGGCGACAAAGACTACCCTTTTTAATGCTCAATATGATGCAAACAATGGAAAAAGGACCGGTGTGTTTGCTGCCACCAACGTCTCAAAAGTCTCTCACTCAAAGTAGTCAAATTTGGGAAAGTGTGTCTGTAGGCATGATTGTTTTTCTTCTGAACTACATATCTTTAGGGAGAAAACATTCACAGGGAATTAGGCCAACAAAAAAAAGGCTCTGGTTTCTGGTATGCGCGCGCTAGCTGTAGCCATGCGCGTCGGTAAAATGAAAAAGTTTTTTTTTTAATGACAGATCGCCAAACTCACTGGTTTGACTGGAATACTGCTGCTGCACAATTTTAACGTGTTTTTAGATTGGGTTATGGTCGAGAATAAGCTTTATGTGGCCTCTCCGGACTCCCATATATTTTGCACTAAATTTAGTCGGGCACCATTTGCAGTCATCAGCCGACATTTGAAGAAAAAAAACAAGTAAAAAAAAAAAAAGCTGTGTTGCCGCACCACTTTTGGGGCAAGCTCCATACCAGAAACCGAAGACTTTTTTTTGGCCTTTATAGTCAGGTTTTTTCCTCAGTGAATCGGTAGCTTCATTTCTGGATAATAACCAATTTTCCTACATGCCTTTATGTCTATAACTTACCGGAAATGCAGACACAACTAAAAGCACCGATTCCCACAAAGCTTGCACAGCTAGGGGGTCCGATTCATCCAGGCCCCCTAGCAAGGTGGTGGATATGCGGGCTAGCTGAGCCTCGGCTATAGAGGGCGCACTCCGCATCAGGCTGCCTTGGAGAGAGTACATGGCGTTCCGAAGCTGAGGTTAAAAACAACAAATTACGAAAATGTAAAAAAAAAAGTAATCTTCAATCCTGATTGGTCGATCCATGGCAACAGCAGTGTGGTATTATTGGGCCAACTTCAATAGCCTTTCATTCAAAGCTGATGGTGTACCAAAAGAGAAATTTTCCTCTTTTTGACAAGTAAAATAAAAATTGTTTCTCGTCCAGGCTTTTTGAAAAAAGCGCAGTCATAATTTGCAAAAAAAGAGCAGTCACCTCTTCTACATAGCTACAATTTTGTTGGAAACAAATAAAAAGACAATTATTGACAGCATACTTGCAAAACATATTGCAAATATATGAATAACAAAAGAAGAAAAAAAGAAGAAGAGGTGTGCAGGAAAAAGGAAGCTGGCGAGGACAAGTCAATTTACAAGAATCTCTTTTGTTATACCTACCATGGGTATTTTTTACTTCAATAGTTAAACTGTAAAGCACCCTCTTTCGGCAATAACAAGCATTCCCTTTGTCCTCCTTACCTGGGGTGATTTGCTCTTGGCTAGCTTCCACAGCTTGTTCTCTGCCAAGATGGCCGCCAGCGTGTCCTGAATGGAGGACAACTCCTTTTCCGGCAGTACCGTCACAAACTCGCCCAGGCCTAGTACCGAGCACGTCTGAATTCGAAGATATTTCTCCTCTTGTTCTTCTGGGGTGTATGATCTACGAAAAAAACAATTAAATAAAACCTTAGTTTATATAGTTTAATCTTTTTGGTAAGGACGTCAAGTTAAGTTTGCAGTAAATTATCTTGCTCAGGAACATATGATCCCCTGGCAGAGTTGAAGTCGAGTGCGTCACATGTCCTCACAAAATCTCACAATTTCTTACAAGTCTTCATAAGTCCTCACAAGTCTAAGCATGTCCCAACAAGTCCTCAAAAGTCTTTACAAGTCCTCACTAGCTCTCACGAGTCCTCATAAGTCACCACAAGACCCAACACATCCTCAGAAGTCTACACAAATCCCTACAAGTACTTACTAGTCCCAACTTGTCCTAACACACCTATCGCAAGTCCTCACAAGTCTTAACACGTCCTCACTATTTCTCACTAGTCCTCACAAGTCTACACAAGTCAATCACAAGTCAATCACAAGTCAACACAAGTCCTCACCTGTCCCTAAAAGTCCCTACAAGTCCTCACAAGTCAACACATGTCCTCACAAGTCAACACATGTCCTCGTTATTCCCCACAAGTCCCTACAAGTCCTCACAAGTCGACAAAAGTAATTATTCTGTTCTTGCTCTTCTCCTGTCACTTGTGACCAGAATTGACTTGTGACGGACTTGATAAAAACACTGCAAAAGGATCCAGCAAAAGACCACTGTGTAAGATCCAAGAAGTTTGGAGGTTTGAAGAGGGGTAGCAACTGCCAAAAGTGGTTCGTTTTTTAAAATCAGGGCCGAAGGAACATCAACTTAACCTTGACATCTGACACAAACTTACTTTGGGTCACTCAGAGATGCTGCTGTCTCTTTGAAGAGATTGTCTTCTAGATACTGAAGTAAAAACGGAAGATAATGAAAATATTTAAATAAATGGCTAAGGATGACAACAAAAAAATAGAATAATTAAATGTGTGCCTACCTTTTTGTACAGCATAAGTACAGTATTAAAGTGGTTGCAGGTTCAATTCTCCCTTCGCTAGGATTATTACTAACAAATTTGAGGACAAAATAGGGAAAAAAAATAATCAACTGAGAGTTACATTTGTTGGCAGAGCATCAGGGTGGTTTTGTAGAGTTTACAGGTTCGATTCCTTCTTTACATGAAGAAAAAAGTTGATTTTTTTTGTTACCCTGAGAATCTCGGTCTTGCAGAATGCCACAGCCTCTCCTTGCTTCGCAGCGGGGAAAGCACTCTGGAATGCCGCCCTCGCCGACAGCGCAGCCGGCGCGTAGGTGTCGCACTGCGCCAGCAGCCACGGGCCCATCAAGGCCCGGAGCTGGGGGGCCAGACTGCGACGGACTCGCAGGATCAGCTGCTCAAAGGCTTGCTGGGTGGCCTCCCGCACTCGCTTGTCATGATCCTGCAACCGAGGACATACGAATTTATCCTAAGCACTGTAAAGGATCAATGGTAGTAAAAACAAGTAAAGTGTGACACGAGCCAATGTGGCCCATCAGGCCAGCATTTTTTCTCAGGTTTCAGTAGCAAGAAACAAGAATATTTCTGTTCCCCCTAGACGGGATGCTAGTCCATCGCAGGTTACTCCCCAGCTAATGCCGGTACCCATTTGTACTCCTGGGTGGAGAGAGGTAAGTGGGGCTGAAGTGGCTTGCCCAAGGACACAACATATGACTAGCAGCTGGATTCGAACCCCTGACCCACTGATCATAAGTCACGAACCCTAACCACTAGGCCACACTCCTCGCGTCAATGGTAATGGCCTAGTACACACCAAGGGCAAACGACAAAGTGATCCATGGCTTTTGGTATACCAGAGGGAGGAAATGGTACCTGATTTACCATACCACCCTCTGAATTTATAACACCCATGGACAATATCGACAGACCACATTTGGAAAGTTGTTTCCTTTTTATAGAAACCACTGTTTTGCCTCATCAGCCAGGTCTAGCATTGCCGCAAACTATTAAGACAGGGGTCAAATTTCATTGAAAAAAAAAATGCATAACAAGTTTATGCGTTAAACAAAAATCACCTGAGAACCAGCAATTAGCAATAAACTGCAAGTGTCATTTTGGCTGGTTACCAGTAATTGCTAAACAAATAGCTTGTGCTTAGCATGTCTGTAAAATGGGTCCCTATTATGCGTGTGAAAAACATGTGTAAAACTTACTGTTGCGAGTCGACTGTACATTCTTGGCCAGTGGGGGAGTGTTCCCTTGACAGCCTCTGCGTTTTTCTCCTTGCACAGCGCACCAAACTCTTGAATGGCCTGCAACAAGTGGTAAGAGCGAATTAAAATGTTTTTAAACGGACGTGCTTTAACACTCAGGCAAAAATTGGAGAAAACAAAATGTGTTTATGCAAAATGGGCTTGTCCTTCACATACCTACATGTATTTCTATACTCTTTTTCTATATCCTGAGGATTGAGGCAATATGGCAAAAATGTGTGGCTGGTTTTGGAGGATGCACTGTGTCAAGGTCTTGGGCTGGACCTTGTGTTGTTTATGCTTAGCCGTGCATAAATTTAGGGCTAGATTATACTTGAAATTCTCCGCAATGCTCCAGGATGTCACTGGCTCTGCCTCAACACATTGGCAATGATAGCTGGAGGATTTTGCAGGATTGAGGTAGTGGTCACCTCTCCAAGGCCCACATTCAAGAAATAATGGAGTACTTTGTAGGATTGAGGCTGCATGAAGTTTTAAATGGAGACAGTTGGAGGATTTTGCAGAATTGAGGATGCATCCTAGCAAATATGCCCAGGGAGTAATAGGGTTCATATTAAAAAAAAAAAAACCTTACATTTAAAAAAAAATCCTTAAGAACTCGAAAGTAATCAAAAAAAGCTTTCATGTTTGTCTTGCTGTAGTTGTACCTTGAGTTTGGTAACCACATCTCTCTTTGTCAGCTTCCTCAGTGCCATGCGGAAATCGGTCTCCAGCGATGAGTCCTGGTCTGATTCCAGGCTCAGCGACTGGGCGGCCGGTACGTAGCCCAGGTCCCCGGACATCGTACCGAAGCCGATGAAGCCCGACGCCCCTGCGGTTGCCCCAGCACCCTCTCTGGCCAGAAGCTCTGCGGCACGACCACTGCTGGATGGCTGGAGAAGGACAGAACAAACAAAAAATTGAAAGTCCACAGAAATCCTTACAATGGCTAGACATCATTGATTGTTGAAATTACTTCCATATTGCCAACTTGACTAAAATGAGGGGTGGATGGGTGGGTAGCTAAGACCTTATTTGTTCTTAATTCTTATACACCCAGTAAGAAAAAAACAGGATGGGTTGATGGAGGATTAATTTGTAAAGAAAATGTTGGCATGCATTCTTGACAAATGAATCAACTATACATTCAGTGTTTGCTGCGCTGCTAATAAGCTTCGTTGCACAGCACGGCAAGAATGCACTTCTGACCAACTTACAAAAAAAACACACAAAAAATATTTCAACAAATGTAGGACAACGCCCCCAAAAATTTGAGGACACACTACACATCAAGTTCAGAGATAACTAAAGTCAAGCAACAGCCGCTGATCCAGCCATGCGCTACGTGACTGCAGTGGTGCAGTGACAGCTAACATGTTGACCTGCACTGCTGCAAGTCACGCTATACTGGAATGCATTGCATGCAACAGGCGTCACCATTACCATGATTACACTTAAATGACGACAAGATTTGATCCTCAGTTGATTGGTATCGACGTCAGTGCACCTAAAACAACGAGGATCTATTTTGACGCGCTCTCATTCAATTTGCGACAACGTGCGCGCATTGCAAGTAGTATGGAACGCCGTATTATCGCGGTACTTATCACGTTTCTCGTTCGGAATAGAGATTGCCCACTAACCTTCCAGAATTGTCCTGTCTTATGTGTAGTATAACTCTTCCTTTTTAAATTAATATAAAAAAATCTGACGGGTGGTGTGGTTTATTCCGTGTACGATGCCTGTGAAAATAGACATGCGCGGCGTGTGTGAACGGAGGTGGACTCCCTATTATCGCGGTATGCGGGAAGTGGTTTTTATAATGATCCCAACTTTTTTGTTCATAGTTTATCTTTGACCAAAACACCCCTGAATAAAGTCTGATATTTTCCCTGTAACGTTCAAGTTGATTAAAGACAAAATGTCTGCAGGATGATTTCTTAAGACCATGCCCTTCCCCCGAAAGGAGAACACAAATCCCTGAGGCAAGTCTACTGATCTGCGATTGAGGGCGCCATTCACTTTACACGGTGTGCCGTTTTATTTTCGCTAACGCGCGGTGCTTATTTTGATCCCGTAAAAGTTGTTACGATTTCGCGCTGCAAATATCGTCGTTCGACTTCATTTTACATTTGCAGCTGAAGAATGGGAACCAGACAATGGAACTTTCATGGACAGAGCGCATTTAAAGAGTTATGTTAAAATATAAACGGTACCTTTTAGCAGACACGGTGAGGGAAAATTTTGCAAGTTTTGGAAAACGTTAATATTTATTAAAATCGTTAAAAGTCCCGAAAGACACAACATTTTTTAATCATCCTTTTTATACAACTCGGTAGAAAATCCTTGATGACTGGTGAACTGGATAAAAATCGCCACTTGAAGGAGTTTTGACACTAAAAAGAGAAATTTCCCATGCCGCGATAATAGGGATGCCGCGATAATAGGGAGTCCGACTATACTGTTACCTGCGCTGATTATGGTGACTCGAGCCGAGGATACTCTTATAATTTTTGGTCATTTTCTCCCAAAAAGGAGGCCTAGGCCTTAGAGTTTCTTTTAATGTCTATATTATTGTTTTAAATTCAAAAGGGGAAATAAACTTTAAAAGTATTGTCTTCTATTTTTAATGGTGATGGCTCACTTGAATCGGTGAGGGCGCTCTTCACGGATTTTAGTGCAGCAACTTACCCGTGTGTTTCCCTTCGTACGTTGTTTCTGCTTACTTGCCATAATTAAGCGAAGAAATTCCGATCTCAGAATCAAGATCCTTGCAATAGCGTTGGTCCCAGATTTCTACTTATATGGCAAACTGTTTTTAACAAGTTTTAAAATTAATCTAGATCCAAGTTTACATCGGATGTTTCCGAAAATTTCACCGCATGGGCGCTGCCATATTTATTACGCTGGTATTCGACAGTTTATACATTTGCGAGTGAAGAAAGCGCTTTTTAACTGCTTGCCTACCAGGGAAGAATGTCCAATACACCGCCCTCTTTCGTTCGCAAAATGCACATGCTACATGCATGACATGCATGAGTGATGATCTTGGTGGTGTGAGGAGCGCAACCATATTGTAACGTCTCTCTGGGTTGAGAGACATTATCAAATAAAGAGTCAGATACAAATATCTTACACACACACACTAGTACTTTATTCGGGATTATTTACATCTCAGGTCAATAGAGGGCGCACTATATACAATGTAAAGTTAATGCGTACATGTGTACATGTCAGGAACTCTGTCGGGGTCAGAGCCCAGAGCAACAATCTAATGCATCATATGCGGGAGCTCTGTGTAGGTCAGAGCTCAGCTCAGGAATCTACTGGGGAAGAGCCCAGTACAACAATGACCAGAACTGCCATTTCTGCGCGCTTTATATAGACTTTTGGGGGCGCGTCTTAGCCAATGGGAGCATTGGATTCTAGTAGTTATGAATAATGCATCCGTGTACAAAGGCATGGGGAAAGTTCTCTATGGGAGATTTGTACACGACTGACTTAGACATTCTAGTGGGAGAAAGTCCGAGAGCAGTGGTTAGCGGGCGAAGTAGGATCACTCGCGGGAGCCTTACGGGGAACTGATCCTCAAGGAAAAGGAAAAGGGAATAACTTCTCGGTACATAGGTTTGTGTACAAGACTTAGTCTCTAGACTAGGTAAGAATCTACACACATATGCTATGGAGTAAAACTATGAGATGAAGGACGTAACCTGACCTCCAGCTACCGTAGGTCTCGGCCAGTGGGTTAGCGGGACACACTCGCTGGGGTGTACGGGGTCACTAAGGGGTGAATACACGGGTAGGTTTTAGCGAGCCACATTCGCTAAATGCTTGGGGTCAATGTGGGTCGGATGCGAGGTAAGGTGTGTGAGGGGAATTCGCATCGACTCCGGGGAAAGGTGGAGGGAAAATGGCCAAGTCCTAAGTACATGTCCCATGGCGGTACATGTTCAATAGCAGTGAGTGCTACACGCATTGCGCGCTATACAATAGCGTACTGTACAATGTGCTGCACACTTGTGCGTGTGTCTAAGACTTCGTGGTAAGCTTCGCGCTGTGTGAGGGCACACAGGATCGCTGCAAGCATTACGCTGTGCACGGAGTGGAATGGATTGGTGGGGAAAGAAGTAAACTACGCAATTTGCGGGAACGCAACACTATCTCCCCCTAGTTTTTACAACGTCCTCGTTGTAATAAAAGGAATTACTGAATAACAAGAGTTAAGGAAAAGCAAAGATAAATGGAGCGCTAAAAACATGCAAAAAGTGTAAAACTTAAAAGTGAACATAAAGAAAACAACGAACGGTTACATTTCCTTTAAATGCGGATAAATGAGAGATAATCAAAACAAAAAGAAGGTAAATATTCATCTAAAACGACGAAAAAAAAAGTTCAGTGTCCATAGCGATGGAGGGTGAAACACTGAGTTCATTCACTCGGCGCAGTTCATCGACCATGAATAAGCGTCGTGAAAGATGGAGGTGGGAGACCAGAAATAATCCTGAAGTCTCGCTGGCCTTCTCTTAGAACGGGTACTCCTCCTCTCTGACAAGGGCGAAGTTCCTGTCGCAGAGGGCGCTACAGTTGGTGTCGGGGAAACAGATACTGTAGCAGGCGGGGCTGATGAGGGGTCATCAGCGCGTTTGGTGCTGGATGTTTTCCTGGCGTTACTGCGGGGGACAGCAGCATCCTTTGAAAGAGAACCCTTCTCCATCAAAGTTTTACGAAGGTCCAGCATCCATTTTGGGACCTCGTCACTGAGATACTGCTTAAGTCGGTCATGGTGAAGAATTTTTGTTCTTCCCCGTTGCTTGAACCGGACTTCAAACAGAAGATCACTCAATGTTCTGAGAATGACGCAGGGGCCTGCCCATTTAGCTCGTTTTAGCTTGGGAGATAACCCAAGGGTTTTTGTGCTGTCTCGCATGTACACCAAGTCACCAATTTGATAGTTTCTTTGGGAAACTCGGGGATCGTGGTCTTTCCTCTGTCTTTCAGCGGATTTACCAAGATGTTGACGAACCAGATGATGGACGGTTTCCATCCGTTTCCTCACGGATGCAACATACTCGCATTCATCTAACGGTTGGTCCTCTGTGTTGGGGCCACCGAGTACAAGCGCAATTGGTAGATGGGTTTCTCGACCTAACATCAGCATATTAGGCGAGTAACCTGTAGATTCATGCTGGCAACTTCTGTACGCTGAAGTTAGAAGTGGGAGGTGGATGTCCCAATTGCGTTGGTCACTGTCAACATACACTGCGATCATGTCAACCAGAACTTGATTGAATCTCTCCGCCTGTCCATTGGCGGATGGATGGTATGGGGAAGTTCGAGTCTTGTGGATTTCCAACAGCTTACAAACTTGTTGCATGAGATGAGACTCATAAGTTCGGCCTTGGTCGGAGTGAATGTCAAGGGGTGGGCCAAAACGGGAAATATATTCGTAGACGATTTTATGAGCCACCGTCTCTGCCTTTTGGTCGGGAATCGGGTAAGCCTCCATCCACTTTGTGAATTGGTCACCGACTAAAAGGATGTATTTGTTCCCATTGTCACTGATAGGGAATAGACCAAGTATGTCCGTGACCAGTCTGTCCATCGGTGCGCCGACTCGATAATCCTCGAGGTGTGCTCTGGGGGTTGTGTGTGGCCTTTTGCGGGCACCACACTTAGCACACTTGCGGACCCAGTCACGAACTGTTTCCTTAAGCCTGTACCAGTAGAATTGGCATTTGATTTTCTGAGCAGTTTTCTTCACCCCGAGGTGAGCAGATGTGACGGCGTCGTGTGCAGCTTGAAGAACGGCACTCTGCAGTTCTCGAGGAATCACAAGTTGCAGGTAAGACTGGGTCTGGTCAGGAGTCACCCATCTTTTAAAAAGAACACCGTCTTTCAGCACCAGCTGTTGCCATAGCAACCACAAGTTCCTAGTGGCGGGACTTTCGCGTGCTATCTGGTCTCTGCTTGGTCTCTCAGGTGATTTGGTCATCAACTCAATGATGATCTTCAGGTCTGGATCTGCTCTCTGCAGATTAGCTATTTCCTCTGTCGTGTAGCCACCGACCCAAGATGTGGCTCGTCCGGCGCTGGGACCGGCGGGGGCGCTAGAAGGGGCACGATCACTCGTGACCTCACCATCTTGGTCGTCTTGCTGTCCGGTTGGATTCGATTGTTCTGCAAGTTGCTGCCCGGCACTTGAACCGGCATCGGCATCCTTTTGCGGGATGCAGGGCGCGTTGCAGTTCAACTCTCTTCCAGCTGAATCAGAGGATTTTGTAGCAGGTTTAGTTCGGTTGTTCGGCCGTACTACCCGAATGGCTGTGGGCAAATTGGCTTGCCCGGGAGTTTCTCCAGTAGGCGTGGCTGTGTGCGAAAAACGACCTTTGAACTGTCCATCGTCAAAGTCGCTGCAGGTAAACTCACTGCACGAGCGCCAAATAAGTTTACCAATGCTGCATACAGGAACCAGTAGGAGGGTAACCAACGTTGCCATCAGTACGAGGACTGTCCGTGGGGATACGGGTTTGGCCTGAGGGCTGACGTCATTGCTCGAGGGCTGATCGTCAGCAGCTGAAGTTCTCTTTGGGAATTGAACTTCAGCGGAGGTAGCGTTTACTCGTCTGGTCGAAAGGGGGACCACATCGTCGACTTGCGAAAAATCGGACCACAGCTCGCTTTTGGCTGTGCACTTCTCGCAACCGCCGCAGGGGAGTTCAGCGAGTATGGTCGTTCCGTCGTAGCACGGACAGTCGTCAGGGTCACATGGCACCCTAGAGAGGGCATCTGCGTTGCCATGTTTCTTCCCTGGTCGATGTTCGATTTTGAAGTCGAACTGAGACAAGATTTGAAGCCATCTTGCCATCTGATCGACAGGCTCACGAAAAGACATGACCCATCGAAGAGCGCTGTGGTCAGTTCTGATGAGGAACTGTTTGCCCAGTAGGTAGTGTCGGAAGTACTGAAGGAAGGTGACGATTGCGAGGAGTTCTCTCCTCGTGGTGCAGTAGCGACGCTGCGGCTTTGTCATCGACCGACTAGCATATGCTATCGGCCGTTCTTCCTCCCTCTGGGTCCGATCACACCACTGGAGTTGCGATAGAGTAGCACCAATGCCACTATCTGAAGCATCGGTATCAATGATGAATAACCCATCATCATTGGGGTATGACATGACTTCGTTGCCGGTGAGGGCGGCCTTTAATTTCTCAAAAGCCGCTTGACAGTCATGAGTCCACTTAAACGTCTGTCCGGCCTCTAACAGACGATGTAAGGGGCTGGCTATCGTGGCGAATTGGGCTATGAACCTACGGTAGTAAGAACATAGTCCCAGGAAAGAGCGTACTTCAGTTATGTTCTTGGGGGTGGGCCAGTTCTGCACAGCAGAAACTTTACTAGGGTCTGGTTTGACACCATCTGGTGTGATGATGTGACCGAGGAACAGAACTTCCGTCTGGAAGAGTTCACACTTGCTCGGTTTCAGCTTCAGTCCAGCGTTTCCTAGTCGGCGTAGGACTTCACCAAGACGCTCAATATGCTCGGAAAATGTTGATGACAGGATTATGATATCGTCGAGATATATCAGCAGAGTTCGCCATTGCAAACCTTTGAGTACTAGCTCCATACAGCGCTCAAAGGTACTGGGTGCGTTGCATAACCCAAAAGGCATGGTCACGTACTCGTACAGTCCACTTCGGGTTACGAACGCGGTTTTGGGACGGTCTTCCTTCTTCACTTCAATCTGCCAGTAGCCCGACTGCAGATCGAGGGTGCTGAAGATTTTTGCCCCACTCAGGCAATCTAGGCAGTCATCAACACGGGGTAGGGGATACGCGTCACGGCGCGTAACATCGTTCAGCTTACGATAGTCGACACACGGACGAGTTGTGCCGTCCTTTTTCCGGACAAAAACCATTGGTGATGCCCAGGGGGATGTTGACTCGCGAATCACACCCGCCTTGAGTTGGCTCTCGAGAACTTTCTCCTCCTCGCCCTGAAATGCCTTGGGGGGACGGCGGGGAGGCTGTCGTATGGGGCGTGCGTCGCCGGTGTCAATAGTGTGCTGCACTATTGACGTTTTTCCCAAATCCTCCGCGGATTTGGCAAAAGTGTTCTCGTGGCTGGCCAAAAGTTCACACAATGCTTTCTGCTGGTGTGGGGACAGGTTTTCACAACTCCTCTCGTACAGTTTCTGTAGGTTTTCTGACCACTTGTCAGAAGGATTTGGGGTGTAGGGGACGGCGGGACTGACCGGGTTGACTGCGTATGACGTTGGGCGGGCATGCTCTCTGCACACTCGCGTTACTCGATAGAGGTGATCGGTTTCACAGTTTTCCTGCTCGGCTATGAGTTCAACCGTATCGACTTCATGCAGATATCCAAGCGTTGTACCTGCCTGAAGTTCAATGTTCTCGGGTGAAGTGTTCACAAGTCGGACAGGTATGCCGATGTCTTCTCGGCGGGGATCAATGAGTGAACTGCCAACCACAACATTGTGACGAAGGTTGGCAGGTTCAACGACTGCATACATGGAACTCAGTTTGTGATGATCAGCTATGCCCTCTGCTACCCACTCGCTGCATGCTGGAATTGTAGTGTTCTGCTTCAGTGCGATCTTAACTACACGGGGAGGGGCTCCTTGGACTGTCCACTGAACCCAGTTACCAGCAATTCGTATGCCGTTGCGTGCCTCCAATATGCAATCATAGTGGTATAGAAAGTCATAGCCAAGGATTCCTTCATCGCTGATGGGGGCGACAAATGCATCCCATTGGAAGTGCTGTTCACCAATCATCATGTCGATTGTGGCAACACCTTCAATGTCAATGAGTTCCTTGTTTGCAGTTTCTAGTTTTGTGCTTTTGCACGGGGGTTTGAGTTCAGGGCGTTTTTCAGCAGGGATCTGGCTGAAAAGTGCTGAAGAAATGATGGTCACCGCCGCTCCGGTGTCGACTAAAAGTTCGCTGTCTTGGTCGCATATCTGCACTCGCAAAAATGCAGACATGCCTTGAAATTGCTGTCTACCCATTCGGATAGTGTTCTGTTCATTGGGACGGACCGGTGCCAGGCCGGACGGCACGGTCCGCGTTAGTTTTCCGTCTGTATGACGACGACCTCCTTGGCCGCTATTTCGGGGCACTTGTTTGCAAAGTGGCCGGGCTTGCCACATTTGAAACAAGTAACATCCATCTGCTGTTTCTTGGCTTCAGCAGGCTTGGCGGATTTCTGCTTGATGGCGGGCTTATCTTTGATCAGTTTGACAATTCCGTTTAACCGTCGGTCGAGGGTGTCTTGGAACTGTTTAAACTGCTTTTGGTTGACGAACCCGGGATCAGCCTCAGATGCTGCCTGTACGGTGTTCACACGATGTGATTTTCCCGAGCTTGTGGTGTCACGGAGGCTCAGGAAGTTTTCCACCGCCGTTGTTGCCTCCTCAAGGGACTTGGGATTCGTCATGCCAACGGAAACTGCCATCTGTTGGTCGGGGAGGCCCTTCAGAAAATGGCGAAGGGCGATGCTCTCTCTGGTAACTGGATCTGCCGTAGGGTAGCCACGGAAGACGAGGCGGCGAATGTCGGCTACAAACTCCGCCAGCTTCTCCTTCGGCTGATGTCTCCTCGCTTCTAGCTGAGCGATGTAGTAATTTGGCAATTGTCGTTCGCCAAATCGTTTACCAAGCTCCTTCACCAGGGTGTCGGACGACTTGATTGCTTCGGGATCCAGTTGCTGGTACACGTACTCGGCCGCCTTTCCACGTAGACTGCTGACAAGTCGGAAGCGCTTTTCTTCCTCGGACCAGCCGCAAGCCTCGGCGAGACCCATCAGAGGTCGGACGAAGCCTTCCCATGACTTCGTGCCGTCAAATTCTCCTTGGCGAGGGAGAGGAACATCCAGCTTATGACTCGGCTGGGTTCGGAGAGGACGGGGCTCTGCTTGCTCTGCTGCTGTTGGTTTAGGGGCGTCAGCTTTTGGAACGGTGGAAGGGGCAGTACTGGGAGCGGACATCACTGGCTGTGAGTCCTTCGGCGATTTCGCTGAAACATTGGCATCTGTCTGCTCAGCCGTTGATGGGCTGTGTAATGCAGCAGCTGCTCGGAGTTGTTTCAGCTCTTTCTCCGCCTCCACTGAACGAAGCTTGAACAGTTCGAACTGTTTTTTAAGTTCTTGAAGTTCTGCACTCTCTGCCTGTAGACTTGAATACAGGTTGGTGTCATCATCATCATACAACGACTGTAACCTGCGAGATTTTCGCTTGGCAGGCATGTTGGCTGCTGATATTGACAAGCAGAAAGTCAGAGTCTAAAGCTGGGAGATCCGTTCAGTGGAGGGGTACATGAAGTGACTTAATTAAAAGTCATGGTATAGTTCGATGGTGTGTGTAAGTTCGTATCCCACCGCTTGCCACCAGTGTAACGTCTCTCTGGGTTGAGAGACATTATCAAATAAAGAGTCAGATACAAATATCTTACACACACACACTAGTACTTTATTCGGGATTATTTACATCTCAGGTCAATAGAGGGCGCACTATATACAATGTAAAGTTAATGCGTACATGTGTACATGTCAGGAACTCTGTCGGGGTCAGAGCCCAGAGCAACAATCTAATGCATCATATGCGGGAGCTCTGTGTAGGTCAGAGCTCAGCTCAGGAATCTACTGGGGAAGAGCCCAGTACAACAATGACCAGAACTGCCATTTCTGCGCGCTTTATATAGACTTTTGGGGGCGCGTCTTAGCCAATGGGAGCATTGGATTCTAGTAGTTATGAATAATGCATCCGTGTACAAAGGCATGGGGAAAGTTCTCTATGGGAGATTTGTACACGACTGACTTAGACATTCTAGTGGGAGAAAGTCCGAGAGCAGTGGTTAGCGGGCGAAGTAGGATCACTCGCGGGAGCCTTACGGGGAACTGATCCTCAAGGAAAAGGAAAAGGGAATAACTTCTCGGTACATAGGTTTGTGTACAAGACTTAGTCTCTAGACTAGGTAAGAATCTACACACATATGCTATGGAGTAAAACTATGAGATGAAGGACGTAACCTGACCTCCAGCTACCGTAGGTCTCGGCCAGTGGGTTAGCGGGACACACTCGCTGGGGTGTACGGGGTCACTAAGGGGTGAATACACGGGTAGGTTTTAGCGAGCCACATTCGCTAAATGCTTGGGGTCAATGTGGGTCGGATGCGAGGTAAGGTGTGTGAGGGGAATTCGCATCGACTCCGGGGAAAGGTGGAGGGAAAATGGCCAAGTCCTAAGTACATGTCCCATGGCGGTACATGTTCAATAGCAGTGAGTGCTACACGCATTGCGCGCTATACAATAGCGTACTGTACAATGTGCTGCACACTTGTGCGTGTGTCTAAGACTTCGTGGTAAGCTTCGCGCTGTGTGAGGGCACACAGGATCGCTGCAAGCATTACGCTGTGCACGGAGTGGAATGGATTGGTGGGGAAAGAAGTAAACTACGCAATTTGCGGGAACGCAACAATATTTTTGTGTCGAAATGGAAGATTTAGTCAAAGAAACTCCCTTAATGGATCCTCAGACGATATTCCAATATGTCTTTATATTCTTCTGGGTCATGTATGTATGGGAGTCCTATCTTTCTTATCGACAGGTAAGATTTTGAGAAACCTTTGTCATGTTTGTCACTTTTCAGGTTGTTACTGTTAGTAGATCAAGGCAAGAGCGCCCTCACAGGACATGTTTTGTTTATGTCAAGTTATTTGGCCGGCACCTGTTTCCATCTAAGTTCTAGTATTAAATCAAATGTTATTTTCACAGAGGCTTTCTCAGATTGGCTGATATTTAAATGTGATCATGGTGATGTTCGACATGTCCTAATTCTATTCAATTTTAATTTTTCAGTATATTTTTCCCACAGGGGCTAGGTCATAATTGGTCCCAGAATAAGGAGACATTGGGGTATGTCAATGTATGTGGTTCCCTAGTCCGAAAATTTGGGACTCTCAATACTGTGTATGAGCAGATGAGAGTCCCAAAACTTAAGGTATCCATATTGTGCAAAAGTTTGTGCTGCATAATAAAACCAGTGTGAATCAAATGTGCAAGCTTCTTACTGAACTACAGTTTCTTCAATAATCCCCGAAACTTCTGCCCTGCAAAGTTGCTGTTGTGAGCATTGCATCACCAAAAATTCAGCGTTTAATTCTAATTTTCGTTATCGAAATCCAAACGCGAAACATCACGTTGATGTGTACTGCAATGCATTGTGCAAAAAGACTCCTCAGCTAAAACATTTTCATCGTGTAGATAAAACAGCGCCCTCTTGTTGATCTGAGTGAATGCAGAATGTTTCATTTTTTATCAGAGGGCGCTATGTTCATTTGGCCATCGATTAAAAAACAAGTAAGCTGCAAGGCTCTTCCTACACCTACCCAGAATACCTTGGGAATCACACCACCATTTCTAAAGCATGGAGAATGACGTGGATGGTTTTTGAACTGTCAAAAACTTGCCTTAAAATTGGATTTAAGGTCTCAAATTTTGCAGGTGACATGCTTGCAACTTAAGCATTTTGATGTATGTGTTGTGTGGGCATTAATTAGCCAAATGGTGAGTAAAAAAACGTCAGTAGTAATTTTGCACGTTTTTATGCACTCACGGTCCCAGTCTGGTGGTTCCCATGATGGGGCTTTGTAATAAAGTCGACAAGTGCACAATTAGCATAATCCTTTCTTTGGTAATCCTTACTTTTAGGACCCCGTTCCTATATAGGAAGGGAAAGACTCACCAAAACAGTTGACTAAATGACACTCAAAATTGACATTCTAATACTTCTTGGCACATCTAAACAATTGGCAATGACACCTTCTTGAATATCAGCAGGTTTAATTTTGTGGAAAGAGGGCAGGGCTTTGATTTATGAGGGAAATTCAGGGGTAAAAGACGACGATGACAACCAGAAAACAGACTCAAAAACCAAGATGGCAAACGTGAAAGCTCGATTCGATGAAAGCTCGATGCTGATTGGCTGATAAAAAAATAAACATCTTATTTATTTTTAGTCTGCTTAGCCAAGAACTTGATGGCCAAGAACTTGAACCAAAAGATTCAGGAATAGTCAGAATCTGTTGGTCTGAGAACCAGACTAACTTATTTTGTTTTTAGTCTGGTTCCCAGACCAAAAGATTCAGGAGTAGTCAGAATGTTTTTGGTCTGGGAACCAGACTAATTAATTTTATTAGCAGCCAATCAGCATCGGGCTTTCATTATGTAGGGCTTTCACGAGTGTGAGAACTACAACATGCACGTCTGACTGCGAAAAAAGGTAGGAAAGTCACATTTTCTTCGAATGTGCTTTCAAAACTACAACTAACATGAGTTTATATGAAGAAAAAAGACTGCTTTAGCCTGCAAAAGTCACTTTGGTACTGGAGAGTTATCTGCAAAAGTCAGTTTTGAACAGAACTTGTAAAAAATAGAGGTGTCCTAAAAGTAAGGATTATCCTTTCTTCCTCTGTTTGTTTTGTAGAGGCAAGTCTACCGTAACACTGCGGAGGTACCGGCCCCGCTACGTGACATCCTAGACCATGAGACCTTTGAGAAGTCTCGCCTGTACCAGCTGGACAAGAGCTCCTTCGGTTTCTGGCAAGGGGTCTTTTCGCAGCTTGAATCCTCGGTGAGTATTTTTGTGTAGCTATCCCAAGAGCGCGAGTGGAACGGAATAATGTGAGTCTGTGTCCCATACGCCACTAGGCACTTCTTTTTCCGTCTTCAAGTGGGATAACGAATTTACCTTCAAGCAAACTTAAAACATATTATTCGAGATGCAGTACATATGCTGTGGTTATGTTTCAGCTGTTAATTGTTATGACTTGTGATGGACTTGTGATGACTTGTGATGGCTTGTGATGGACTAGTGATGACTTGTGATGGTCTAGTGATGACTTGGGATGGACTAGTGATGACTTGTGATGGACTAGTGATGCCTTGTGATGGACTAGTGATGACTTGTGATGGACTAGTGATGACTTGTGATGGACTAGTGATGACTTGTGTTGGACTAGTGATGACTTGTGTTGGACTAGTGATGACTTGTGTTGGACTAGTGATGACTTGTGTTGGACTAGTGATGACTTGTGATGGACTAGTAATGACTTGTGATGGCCTAGTGATGACTTGTGATGGACTAGTGATGATTAGTGATGACTTGTGATGGACTAGTAACGACTTGTGATGGACTAGTGATGACTTGTGATGGACTGGTGATGACTTGTGTTGGACTAGTGATGACTTGTGATGACTTGTGATGACTTGTGATGACTTGTGATGGACTAGTGACGACTTGTGATGGACTAGTGATGACTTGTGATGGATGGATCGCAGACATCATGGATTGCAGACAGTACAATATCAATTTTTAATTCTTTTCTATTGTTTTGTTTTTCAGGCTATTCTCCTCTATGGGGGCATCCCATACATGTGGGGAGTAGCAGGACATGCCATAGCGTACTTTGGTTATGGCCCGGAAAACGAGGTACATTTGTATGTATTATCTCAAACCCTACAGAACCCTTCAAAATCCATCAAAAAGTTTTGTAGGATTGTGCAGGATTGAGGAAGGTAGAGCCTAGCTACTATTAATTTACATAGGGCTTGAAGCCCCTTGAAACTTGGTAGTACAGAGAGTGTGCCATTGGTTTCATACACAGTGGAGAATATGTAGGAGTTAGGAAGACAGAGCCCAGTTACTAGTTCTTTTCATAGGGCTTCATGCTACTTCAAACTTGGTTGGTACAAAGAGCTTGGCTTAATAAATGCACCATTTGATATTTCCACATAGATCATTCAGTCCCTGATGTTCATGCTGCTAGCCTCCGTTTACAGCACCATCGTCGGCCTGCCATGGACCGTCTATGGCACGTTCGTCCTGGAGGAGAAACACGGCTTCAACAAACAGGTAAACATTTAGGGATAGCTTCAATATTGACTGTTTGCGAGGTCAGCGAAGTTCGCGAACTAAATTTGATACTTAGTTACGAGTAAACATCGAGCTCTGCAGGTGCATTTGCATCGCATGACAATGCGCCTTTGTTATGCTAAAACTATGCTAATATGCTGCAGCTGCTGAGTTCGCGAAGTGCGCGAACCTATCGTACGTGGAGTTCCCGTCAGCTACCGGTCAGTGCTCCGGTAATATTCAGGCTTTGTTGCGTCCGCGGTATTTGTTAAGCCAGGAGCAAGGGGTTGTGTTCCCGAATATTTTTTGATAGGTGGCAAATTTGGCTTATCTAGCTCCCAGACCTATGTTCTTGAAACTCAATGGTTCTTGAGTCTGGAGTACTGACTGGTAACACATAGTGACCGATAATAACACACACGCTAATAAAAAGGTATGTCATCATCTTGGCTGACCATGACGTTATGCCGCGCTGCCCTCTACCAATGTCTCAAAGTGCTTAGCAGTTATATTGCCCTGTTCATCAAACCACGAGACCAGTTTTCTGCAGCAGCCTGAGATCAGCACAAACTGGAGAGAGGCAGTTATTGTAAAGTGCCTTGCCCAAGAATACAAACACCACGTTCCTGTGACTTATCGTCAGGTTTTTTGCATTTGATACAGACAGCAGGGTTCTTCATCAAGGACCAGATCAAGATGTTTCTGGTGACCCAAGCTCTGATGGCCCCCATTGCATCCGGACTGCTCTACATCATACAGATGGGTGGACAGTACTTCTTCATCTATGCCTGGGCATTTGCATTCGCCGTCTCTTTGGTAGGTCAAGTCCTTGGTACTCATATTTTTTGTTTGCTGGAATGACCCTGTACATATCTGTCGAGATATATTTTTCTTCAGGGAACACTAAAATTGACATTCATTAGTGCTGTGTATATTAAAGACAGTTGCGAGAACGTTTTAAAAATAAATTGTGGTAAAGTATCCTACTTAGGAACACAAAGAGTATGATGTGTGAGTTCAAGTCTCAATGATATTCTGTATTGTGTGAACAGGGGACCACCAGAATTTATGCTGTACTACTCTGTTTTCATCGCTTACATGAACTTTTATAAACAGATTGCAATAGAGTGTCTTGCCTAGGAACACAAGGATTATTCATGTCTGGTTTCCTGTATTACGTCCACAGATTATGATCACCATCTACGCCGACTACATCGCCCCACTCTTTGACACCTTCACCCCTCTGCCCGAGGGAGAACTAAGGACAAAGATTGAGGGACTCGCCAAGAGTATTTCCTTCCCTCTCTACAAGCTCTACGTTGTTGAAGGTTGGTCAACGTTTTGTTTCACACAAGAGGCAGTAACAATTAGCCGACTCTTGTAAAAAGCTGTTACAAAACACAGAATTGATCAAACACTGAAGCGAACATTTCCTGTTGATTTTCTGTAGGATCTAAGAGGTCCTCTCATAGCAACGCCTATTTCTACGGCTTCTTCAAGAACAAACGCATCGTTCTGTTTGACACGCTGCTGGAGGATTACAAGCCAGCCAGCAAAGAAGAGGTAGGAGGGGATGGGGAGAGGCGGGGCATGGAGAGGGGTGGGGTGGGGGGTGGGAGGGGGATTGAGATACCTATGTTCTTTCTAGCTTTTGTGGAAAGATGCTTTTTACCTGAAGTGCCGTGGCCTTGTGGTCCAGAGCATCAAACTCAAGATCTTTGGGTAATTCCGCAGGTTGAAGGTTGAAATCCAGCCTAAAGGGTTGTGGTGCCTGAGTCCTTAGGCAAGGCACTTTACATTCATTGCTTCTCCCCATCTAGGGGTAAATTGGGTACCTGTGAGGAGAGAGTTGGTTTCTGTATATGATTTTAGCTTCTTTGTGCCGAAATGGCAGATTCAAGCTATATACTTCGCAGGGAGCTGAGATTGTCTTTGGAATGTTTCATCTGCCCAATGAGCAGGTTGAGTAATGATACACCAGTACTGGTGGATATATGTGCATTTTGTAAGTTTGCATCATTATTCCTCTTTTATTCTTCTTCAGGATAAACCCAAGGAGAAAAGCGAATCCTCCGACGAGAGTCCGGTGCCAGACCAAGGAGAGGAGACCGGACCAAAGGAGGGCGTGGCAGACGAGCCAGCAAAGGAGGGAGAAAAGAAGAAGACTGGTTGCAATGACCAGGAGGTGCTAGCTGTGCTGGCTCATGAGCTGGGTCACTGGAAGCTGAGCCACAACCTCAAAAATCTTGTCATCAGTCAGGTAATATAGACTTAACACAGCATGCTGCCGCTGTACATTCATGGAGGCTCCCTTCAATTTGGAATGCAGTTTGCAGACTATGGGCTGCTGCCTTACTGCTGCCAGCTGCTGGGCTGCTGCCCCACTGCTGGCTGCTTCCCCGTTGCTGGCTGCTGCCCCTTGCTGCTGGCTGCTGCCCCACTGCTGGCTGCTGCCCCACTGCTGGATGCTTCCCTGCTGCTGGCTGCTGCCCCACTGCCCGCTGCCGGCTGCTGCCCCACTGCTGGCTGCTTCCTTGTTGCTGGATGTTTCCCCGCTGCTGGCTGCTGCCCCACTGCCCGCTGCTGCCGTGCTGCCCCACTGCCAACTGCTTCCCTCTTACTCGATGCTTTTAGACTACTAGCTGCTGCCCCACTGCCGGCTGCTGCCCTGTTGCTGTTGCTGGATGCTTCCACACTGCTGGCTGCTGCCCTCTGCTGCCCCCTGCTGCCCCCACCCCTCCCCCTTTCAGATGCTCCCTGCTGCATGTCTCTGCAGGCAACTGCTGTGCTGCTAGCTGCTGCCCCATTGCCAGCTGCTTCCCTGCTGCCCCATTGCCAGCTTGCTTCCCTGCTGCCCCACTGCTGGCTGCTTCCCTGTTGCTGGCTTCTGCTGCACTGCTGGCTGCTGCCCCACTGCCTACTACTGCCCCCTGCCCCTGGCCAGATGCTCCCCCGCTGCATGCAGGCAACTGTCCTGCTGCCAGCTGCTGCCCCTTTGCCGGCTGCTTCCCTGCTGCGCCGCTGCCAGCTGCCGACTGTTGCCCCCATGTGGCTGATATTGGTGCACTGTGAAGCACATTCTGCTCTTGTTGATCTTGTTTCCTGTGTCATTATAGGTGAACTTGTTCCTGTGCCTGTTTCTCTTCGCCCTCCTGATCGAGAGAAAGGAACTGTTTGAGGCGTTTGGTTTCTACGACGTCCAACCCACTCTCATAGGCCTCGTCATCATCTTTCAGTTTGTTTTCTCGCCATACAACGAGGTGCGTCCAGAATGATTGAAAATAAATCTTCCATTATTTGTTTATCCTTTTCCAACCTGATTAATGCCATTCCGAGCCAAAATGTCATCCAGTAACTGAAATTAAGCCTTGGTCTGTGGTTTCCACTTTGAGAATTCAAAGAACTTTGTTTTTGTTTTCCCACAGGTGCTTTCGTTCTGCATGACGGTGCTGTGTCGCCGGTTTGAGTTCCAGGCCGACGCTTTCGCCAAGTCGCTGCGCCGCGCCACGGAGCTGCGGTCGGCGCTGATCAAGCTACACAAGGACAATCTGGGCTTCCCATTGGCCGATTGGCTTTACTCCACCTGGCACTACTCCCACCCTCCCCTCCTCGAGAGACTCGCTGCCCTCGGGGAGAAATTGGACTGAAATCGATGGTCTTCTTTTGGGTTGTGGACTGAGCACCTCTACGTACACCTGTAAGCACAGACAATTTTCTGAGCTTGTTGTTTTTTAAATGTGCCATTCAAAACTAAGAACAAAACAAACCACTGTACTGCTGTTTAAAAGATTAAATATTCTGCGTTAACCTAACTCCCTAGCATCTTTTACTGGGAACTGGACCAATTCCATCAAAATCCATCAATCAGTGTGCGTCTAATACAAAACTGTACCTGACATAATGGAATCCACCACTGACGCACTGGTTGACATTCATGGACTCACTACACGTTGCTTTTATCACAATAGCAGTACAGTAAGCTAGGCAAAATCAATCGGATACCACTAGCACTGCTTCAGGTCATTAGGCCTAAGTCTATCATACTCCATCAATATTAAGTCACGCCAGGTCTTCTGGACCAAGTCCCCCAAAATCCACCAAAATGGGGGGGGGGGGATGGATTTTGATGGACTTGCCAGTTGCTACAGCCATTTTGAGATTTGTTGGATGCAAAAAGAGGGCGCTGTTTGCCAACTGATAAAAAGTCTGTTAAGTCTCCAGAGCTACAAATCTTTTACAATGGAAATAGATTGGAAAGACACAAAAAATTACCATTTATCCTGGGGGAAAAAGTAGACATTTCTAGGCAATTCTAAACAGTATCCTTTTTTTTTGTCCTGTCGATAGTTATTGTTTTGTCAGAGGCTTATGAACTATGAAAGACAATTTGTTGCCAAAATAACTACATTTCCAAATTTTAATTTAGACCATAGATCTGGCTGGCAAAATGGTCACGGTTTTTTTTTTCTGTGAAATTTTGGGGTTAGGAATGTTACAGTAAGTAAAATTGGCCTGTTTTGTTTTGTAAAAACAAATGCCATATTTTGTTTTACATTTTTTTTTAAACCGTTCATGGTTTTAGTCTGGGCATGAACTCTTGGATATTTTCAGTGTACCAGTTAATTTAGTGTGAATTTCTGGATCTACTCTTGCTATATATTGTCATAATGCTAATGCAAAATAAAGGTATTGTCCGCTAAAGAATTTGTGATGTCACATGTGTGTTTAATTAGCTGTGTCTGGTCGTACCCGTTTCATAAATTCGAAATTCAATGCAACACATTTCTAATAAATGAAACAATACCTTTTTTGCGCTTTTTAATTTTTATTTGAACCATTCATACTATTAGAAATGTTACTACATTTCATCAAGACCTTAAAAGGTGCGTTTACGAGTACAATGTATAATCTCTACCAATTCACACTACAATTGGAAATACACATGTACATGTACGTGTAGTTAACAATGCATTTGCCAATTGTTTTGCCATAAGTGTGCAGTCAATTAAATTCTATTAAACTTCACATTTATTTCCATGCTTCATGAAGAGAAAATATGTATACATAAAAACTTTAGAGAAAAGGGTTAAACAATAAAGCAGTAAATATCAAATTAACAGCAAAATTAAAGAAGCAAATAAGAGCATGGGGCTGTTTTAATAGGCAGAAGCTTGTGGAAAACAGCAGACAAACAACACGGGCCAAACAAACAAACAAAGACATTACAATGGTAAGTTTGCTTCATCATTACAGTGCTGTGAGGAATTAAAAATACACAATGTAGCCAGAATGTATTGTGGAATTAGGCATTTCGCTGGTGTACGAGCACCATTCAGCCCAGCTATATTGAGCAAGGCTACCAGTGATGGGTCACTCCAGGGAAATTGTCCTCAATATATGTTTCTATTGGACTGGCAAGTGCGTTAGGAACATAGGTTGAAGCTAGTAGGGTGCCATCTTGGGAGATTCTTAATCTGTTCAATAAAATATCAAATCTTGATAATGCTTGATCCGAGTTGAAATGGCATGGATTATTTTACAAGCCAACAGGTATGACAGACAACATTCTTTCCAATTTTTTTATTAGCCAATATTTAGTCAATGCTTGTATTGAGAGGCTCACCAATAATGGCTTCACAGATATACATTGTAAGCACAGCAATGGATGGAGACATCAGTGCAAGAGCCATGCGCCATAGTATGTTCAATATGCAATGTACATGCATATGAATTTTTTAATTGTCCGCACTACAACTGGATACAATGCAGTTACAACATACAAATTTACAAGTACATGTACACACTGCACTATTTTCTGTAATTCTGCCATGTTTGTTTAACGAGATGAACTGCAATGTTTATACCTTGTCATTTTAAATCTCATTTATTCATTTGACAATTGGAATATCTACTGTTTCTGGGTGAAAAAAAATATAGGGCTGTAAACTAGCTAACAGTGAACTTTAGTTTTAAAATTTAGTCTCACACTTACAAGTCTTACAATGATAATTGAATGTACATGTACATACCTTTAGAACTAAACATTTCGATCTTTCTTGCTGATCAGTAAACTTTATCACTAAATATGAAAGTATTACATATTGATAGAAAACAAAAACAAAATTCAACAAAACCATAAATCAATTTCCCATTCAAAAAAAAAACTATTCAAACCCAACATTCCAACCATGTTAACATATATGCTGCAATAGAAGAAATAATAAACCCCAAAACAAAACTAACACCAATTAAAATCCTGCTGTGTAATTTTTGCAGGATATTTTGTAACAATTTTGTGAATAACGCAATTTACATTGATTGCTTTTAATACATTAACGTTAGGCATATGTACCGGTACATGTATATCTGCATGCGTGTTCAAACTTGGCAATTTCACAATTACTTATCAAACATAACTGCTTCAACTTGAAACACCTTTTTAAACTTACAATATTATCACAGTAAAGTATTTTACTATAGAAGTCTAGAAAAAAAGTTGTTATCATCATGCCAACAAATTCTTTCTTCAAGACATTTCTCACTACTGCAGACCCGCTGCGGTCAACTGGCATAATTTAAACAACTGAATAAACACCGACTTCTCATTGAATATGAATCCAATATCCAGGTGTGTTCTATGTCACAGCACTTGTGTTACTATTTAGAGTATTACATAATTTTTTTTTCTCCTGAGTGTTTAATTTCATTTCAGATTTGTGATTTTTTTTTCCATTACAGTTATAACACAGAGTATTACCTGTTAATCATAACAAAATGTACAAAAAGAAGTGAGTAAAGCAATTTTAACTAACATATTCCATTCAATTATATTACATTTATTTCCATACTGAAACAATAACATAACAGAAAGCAAAATACAATATTGTAAAGGCACAATCCTAATAAGCTAACATAAACAGGTATAAGAGAAAAAAAGTGATTATAGAAGCCATTGTAACTAACAAAACATATATATAAGAAAAAAAGAAGTGTCGTCATTAAAAAATGTTTTTAATTTTGTATCAAATACCATGGACGTCGCCAGGATTTTTTCTAGAGGGGGGCAAAACATAATTTTTCCAAAAAAATACTTGTATTTCTCAACAAATTCTCGATTTATCAGTTTTAGAGGGGGGCAGGGACATTTTGCCCCCCCCCCCCCCACTCATTAAGTTTACACCACTATGATTTCACGCCTCTTTATCTTCTCTTTTGTTTTCTTTTGTTTTCTTCTTTTTTTTCTCTTTTTTCTTTTTTTCCGGGGGGGGGGGGGAGAAGCCCCCCCCCCACAATGCCCATGTCAATTACATTATAAACACAACATTCTGTATAAACGATTACCAATTGATGACTAATATGAAATATTTGAAAACAAGTGCATTGTATAACATGAACTCTTAGCTAAAACAAAATTCAACAAAAAGTGGCAATCATCAAAAATGAAATCCACACCAAACAATAACGTATGTACATGTAATTCTACCAAATCGGTTGTTTGCTGTCTTTTGTGGAATCTTTAGAGATAACGAAGATTACTCTATCATTGTACATATTTTCATAGTTTCACACAGTACATGTAGGTAGTTTACACAAAATATGGAGAAAGGTACAAATAAGGCCGGCCACCCGCCCCCCCCCCCCAACATGTATTCTTCAATGGTTGACTTGACTAGGTTTTGAATTTGCCAGCAAGCTACCTAATCATATAGGCTCTGTGCACAAGTACCCCTCAACGGTAAGAAAGGGAGAGTTAGGGGAGACCACTGAGAGAGACATTGGAACGCATTGCCGACGCGACGCCCGATGTTTGCGCAAAGACGCTACAGATTTGTGCACATTCAGAATAAACTTAGTCGAGCGTACTTTTGCGTGAACCAGTATGCAGTGTGTTCCTCCCAGGAACAGAGCGCCCTCTATTGTCCATGCACGGAGTCCATGCTGAACTCTTGTGGGATTAGTCTTAGTTCAAGATGTTTGCACTTTGAGCAATCGCCCATCATTCTGAACCAAGACTACAGCAGAATCAATTTCATGGAACTTCTGAGCAGAAATTTAGTGCTAAGCTACGTTTACATGCTAAGCATCGTTAAAGGTACATCATTTGTTTTTGTGCATTTTTTTTGTTCGAAGCAGCAACAATGCTCAAAATCTTAAGGAAGGTGCATGTATCATGTTGAAATTTTAGCTCAGTTGCATTTTGAGACAACAGAAAATATTATATTCACGTTATATTTTTGGGATCTTAAAACTGGATTCCATTGCTAACAAAAAAGTGTGCCCCTGTTTGAAAATCACCTTAAATGATCATTTTCTTTCGATGGTAACCAATTCTGGTAGAATAAATTCACACTTTTTTGGGGACCGATCACATCTTCACTTTGAGTGAGCTGTTTCTCTGTAAGTTGGCATTTTTTCTGGGTAATTACCGTAGCAATGTTCTTTCCCTGCCTTTCATAGGGGTGTGCATCGGGAACGGGTTACCCGAATACCCGACCGCAGATGTCAGGAACTGGGATCGGGTACCCATAACCAACTTGACAAATTACTTAGTAATTTCTCAGAAAATGAAAATAGGTTGTGACAGCTATTAATTTGTGGTGGAGAGTTGCAGTTTACACCTTAAAGCTGTAAAACCCTTTCAACAACTTGCGGGATTTAGATTATGGGGTTGGGTTTCTTCTACGGGTACCCGTGTTTTACTTCAATAGATACCCGGTTTCCGTACTATAATCGTAAATGAAAAAAAAAACTACGTAGTTCCATGAAATTGGCAACTGCTCCTTCTAGCTAGAACCCCCAGTTTTAAAGTTCGAATGCCACTGGCTAATAACCCTTACATCTAATTTATAAATGCACATCTCACAGTTTATGTTATGCACTAGCTAGCATACTGGAATCACGCGCAACGTAAGGATTAATGGGTACATAAAGGAACAAGACTGAAAAAAATCCTCAACAACAACAAGTTCCCTCAAAAAGCCTACACATAAACACAAAATTTTTAGGGCTGTCCATTTCCGAATAAATTAGTATTGAGATATTTGAAACTGTGTTTTGACTGAATATTTCGGATGTTCAAAATTTGGCCGTCAAGCTTACGTGTGCCAGTTGCAACTGCATGCCCCTCCTGTCAAAATTCGCATGCAAAGCGCGCTGGTTAAAATTTACGCTTGGCAATTGATGTTATGGGACGCAGAAGTGTTTTGCAGCAAGTATTTTTTAATTTGTCAAGGGCTTTTACCCTGGCTAAAAGGATGGACAATGAACCGCCATCAACAAAAAAAAGTTACTGTTGACAAAAAGTGGCATATCTGACAATAAAGTGCAGTGACTTTACAATTACAGTAACATCACAGATGTGCGTGTACATGGGTAGTTTTCTATCTTTTGAATCTTTGAACCGGCAAAAAGCTATTTGAATATTCCATCGATGATCGAATATTCAAATTTTTGGGACAGCCCTACAAATGTTGTTTATGAAGTTAGGGATAATAAAAAAAGTATTACTTGCAAATGCCCTACCCCAGATTTTTTAAATATTTTTTTTGGGGGGGGGGGGCGGGAGTGGGGCGGCCCTTTTTTTTATTCCCTACAAAATTGTACAACCAACACTACAAGATATCAACAAAGACCTTGTTTCTTCCAACCTGCTCATATTCTTAAAATGCTTGCCTTGATATCCTAGCCGTATTATACTTGTATTATTGTACAGTTTTAACTTTACAAGCTGATTTGCCTTTCCGTAAAAGCTCTACGTTAGGGTATGGAGCTTGCCCAAAAAGTGGTGCTGTGACGCGGCTTTTTTTTTTTTTTTACCCGACTTTTTTGCTTCCAATGTCGGCTGATGACTGCAAATGGTGCCCGACTAAACTTAGTTCAAATAGGCCTTTATGGGATTGGGAGTACAGAGAGGCCACATAAAGCTTATTCTCGACCATAACTCATCTAAAAACACGTTAAAAATGTGCAGCAGCAGGATTCCAGTCAAACCAGTGAGTTTGGCGGTTTTGAGACATCATCTTTCATTGAAAAAAACTTTTTCATTTTGCCAACGCGCATGGCTACAGCGACGCGCGCGCATACCAGAAACCGGAGACTTTTTTTTTTGGCCTTACATTGAGAACTTACCTGCATTGTTTCTAGTGGGCATCGTATTCCCAGTTGTATATTTTGCTGAGCCAATTTTCCCAGTAGATGTCAAATCTTACATCAGTTGAAAAAAAAGTTTTTGGTCTGGCATCATGATCGGCTCATTAGGACTTGAAGACTTTGACGACGTTGGTGATGGTCTGTCGGCATATCGGGCAATAGCGGAGTGAGTTTGCGCACATATCGCACACTACGAGGTGCGTGCACGGCATGAGAACCGTGTTGGCATCATTGTCCATGCAAACTTTGCACAGCTTCTCGTCGCGAAGTCGCTCAATCTCCCGCTCAATCTCTTCGGCTGAAAAGTCAAAATAAAGAGGGAACGAATAAAAATTGTGGAAACTGCAAAGAAGGTGTATCATAGATATCACGGCTATACTAGAATGCACAAAGGGCGTAGTTGTGCGACAATGTTGTGGGGACTTCTGCTGTCCCCATAGCTTCTTCAGTCCCCACAGTACCATGGGAACACTCATGGGTAGTCACCACACCACAGAAAACGGTCTTTGAACCTAGGTTACGTGCTTAGTCTATGGGAGAGTGTTATAATTACAGGGACAAAGGGAAACACAAAGCATTGTCCTCAGAGGTATAGAAATCCAAAACTGAGTGTATGTGTGTCTGTGTACAGGCAGTGCATATTACATGGACCTGTGAACAAAAGATGTCCACACAGTGCAGGTAGTGAAGAAGTTGTGTGGACTTGCCCACGTCCACACAAGGTTCCCCGTCTCAGAAAAACACTTTTAGAGGCATTTGTGGGTGAGAGTTATCAGTCGCACAATAAAGAGGAACTCTCAAGAAAATCATGATCAAAAATATGGGTTCAAAGAGTGTTCATCTCAGTGAGTAAGAGGACTTTTCCCCCGAATTTTCTTTACTACATGAAAACACAGGAATGTCCACACAACGTATGTCAGGTAGACATGTTGATCAGAGAGTTTAACTTTGTAAAGTGCAATCCAAAGACGTACGTGATTGTTGATGCTGCCATTCTGTCGGTTCTACTCTAGTCGGTCCAACCGTCGCAGTGGCCTGATGCTCACCAACTCTCATCCCTTCAAGCTTTTGTGTCAGCACGCCAAGTTCATCCTCTCCTCTCCCAGCATCCTTCCTCCGTTTCTCGGGCACCTGTGCAATGAATTGCTCCGCCCCACGCTTGGCTCCGCCCCTGAACTCTTCCACCTCTTCTTCTTCAACGTCTTCTTCCCATTTTCCAGCTTCTCGTAATTCCTCGGCCTGCCAAACGGCTTCCAAAAGATCGTTGGTGTTTTCGAACGCCTTCCCTGCTGTCCGGAGTTGCCGGCGGACGACTTGCTTGACCAAGTCGGCGTCATAGCCCTTTTCCAAGACACATTTGGTCAACCGACTATTCATTGCTTCGTCTGTTTGAACGCAAGACAAAAAAAACAACCTCTCAACTTGAATATTGGTGTGCGAATAAAAACAGATTTGTGAATGATTTCAACCATTTCTGGGTTTATTCATTGTTCTTTGCCTGTTACTAGTGACCTTAAATACTGTTTACTTTCTGATCATCTTGTGATGGATTTAAGATGGACTTGTGATTTGACTTCTGATAGACTTGTGATCTTACTTATGATTTGCCTTGTGATTGTTTGTGAACCGGAGTTTGATTTAACTTGTTGATTTACCATTTTCTCTGCACAAATTTCTCCTGTGATTAACATTTGATTTGACTTATGATTATCCTTGTGATTGCCTTGTGAATAACTTGTGATGAGTTGTGATTAATAGTGAATGATCTGTGATTGGTAGCAACTGGCTTCTGGTTGCCTTGTGACTGACTTGTGATGAGTTGTGATTGACTGTGAATGACCAGTGACTGGGTTGCGACTGACTTGTGATTGTCTTGTGATTGTCTTGTGATTTGCCTTGTGAAGAGTTTTGATTTGCCTTTTGATGAGTTGTGATTAAATGTGAATGACATGTAATTAGTTGCGACTGGCTTGTGATTGCCTTGTGATTTGCCTTGTGACTGCCTTGTGATTTGCCTAGTGTCTGCCTTGTGATTTGTCTTGTGACTGCCTTGTGATGAGTTGTGATTAATTGTGAATGACCTGTGATTGATTGTGACTGGGGTACACCCGACTTGTGACTGCTTTTTAACTGCTTGTGATTTATTGTGATCGATCGGTCTTGCGTCTTCTTCTTGGACTTTGAGATAGACTACATCTTTGCGATTACCCTGAGCCAACGCTTCGCATCTTACCCAGTGGGTCATCCTTGGCCAATTTCTTGTAGATCACACCGGCCTCGTCTTCAGGAGGTTCTTGGGAGGCGGAGGCTGTGGGGCGTGGGGAGGTGGCTACCTTGGCTGGAGTTGGTGCGGGCGCTGGAGCTGGTGCTGGGGCTGCTGACTGGGCCTGTCATGGAATAACTTGTTAATGCAATCCTTGAAAATGCACCTTTGCGTCCCATTTCACTTCGTTTTCCATTCTCAACGTTTTCTTGCAGTTTTGATTTTTATGTTAATGCAGATATCCATATGCATAAACAGAAGTGTGTTGTCATTTTAGGAAGACATTCTTCAGTTGAGGAGTTTTCTGTTCAAATCGTGAACCCATAATTTGTTCACTGAAAACAATTGTAAGAAAAGTTAGCTCATTGGCTTTCTGTCATGTACTGAAACAACAAATCACCGAAGAATAGAAAATTTACGACAGCAAAATATCCAAAACTCTGGCAACTTTTGGTACTGAAATAGCTGCAACACTTAAAACTTCTATCGGGGTTTAAACCCATGTACCATGCTTGCGCCGTTGGCACACAGTGCTCCACTGTATAATTATAGAACCTTCCATTTTATTCAAATTTCAACATCATTGGGACTTACATTTCTGGCTTGTTTCAACTGCCACGTGTCAACCGGGAAGTTTCGGACAACGTAGCTCACAAATGTCCTTCCCCGCTGTTGGAGCAGCCACTCACAGACTGAGAACCACTTTGCGTGCTCTGTCCAGGGCTCATCGGTGGATTCCCAGTGTTTGAGCCCCCCACCGCAATAGAAGCACTTGGTGCTGTCTCCCTCACCTGCGTCAAAGAACAAGGAAAGTTTAGCCAGAGTGGAATGACTAGAGTCAATGACTCGACTCGAGTCCGACTCAAGTCACAATTTTTGGTGGCTTGACTCGACTCGAGTCCCTAAGGGTAAATGACTGGACGCGACTCGAGTCACTGCAAGCAAATGACTTGACTCAAGTCCCTAATTGGAAGACTCAACTTGACTTAATAAGACTCGAGTGTCAAAAATAAGAGCAAAACTTTGTGAAAAGTATTTACAATGACTTACAGTGCGAAATAAATGTTCACGTCTCTTTGCGAATAAGGAAGGGTACAGCAGTCGCTTGTCATGTACAAACATACGTGCCACAGTCTCCCAAGGGCACACGCACCACGACCCCAGGCTGGACTCGAACCCACAACCTGCAGCTTTACCCGCAGACCGCGAATCCAATGCCCTTAACCACAGGGCCACAGCACTCCACGCACGATTTAGGGCATGGGGTACCTCTGACTAACTGGCCTAAATATTGAAGTTATCTAAAGCTAAGTTTATTCTGTTTCTCACCTGTGTAAAAGAATCCCGCTCGTGCTAGCTGTTGCGGCGTGATCCCCAGGATTCCCGGCCAGCCTTTGTCATAGGTGGCCACTCTTGCATTCTCCCAAGCATAGTCTGGGTACTTGGGCCTGTTCAGGACACGATTTGGCGAAGCCACTTGCTCCCACTGACTCGTCACTTTGGCTGTATGGGGCAGAGCCGCTTCCAACTGCTTTGAGAATTGTTGCAGTGTGTTTTCGTATCCTGATGGCTCCCGGTAGGCTATACTGACTGCGTTGGCCATCTGCAGATCTGTGATTGGCTCGTTTTTGACATCCAGACCCTTGACAAAGGGGCAGCTTGGGAAACGCCGTGCGTGCTCCTGCCGAGGGATGTCCTGAGGTTTCCAGTTCTGGATTTTTCCGTAGCAGGCGAAGCACTGCACTACCGGTATGTCGTCTTTTTCCAGGAAGTAGAAGCCGGCCTTTGCCAGGTCGCGAGGATCCATGGGGTGGTTCCGGGGCCAGCTGCAGTACGACAAGAGCCGCTTGTACTCACTCCGAGAGGTCAGTTGCACTTCAGTTTCGAAGGAATCAATGATGGGTTGCCAAGTTGGATTTCCCTCACTGGACTTCTGGTTCTCATTAAATCTGCCACCCTTCACAGGTTTCCCGGACCCTTTCTTCCCACTTTCAGATTTCTTCGGGGCTTTAAAGAGCTCTGAAACTGTCTCTTTGGCCCGTCTCTTGTGAGTCTGATCGCGGACGAAGGGGCAATTCGGGTAGTGCTTTTTGTGTTCTCCCATCGCAAGGTCACCAAATTCCCATTCTTTGATGATTCCTAAGCAGGCAAAACACTGAACCTGATCGCCAATGCCCAAAAAGAAAAACCCAGCTCTAGCGAGAGCATTAGCTGTGACCGGCGCGCTGTGCGGCCAATTTTTGAAAGTCGCAAGCCGGTTCATCTCTTGTTCCATGTTCAGGGAAGCAAGGGAAGGGGTTTCGTTCTTCACCGGTTTCCCATCGAACACCGTCACTATGTTGTTGGATCCAATGATGCTGACATTTCCAGCATCATCAATGCGAACTTGGTTGGGTCTCGGTATGTGGTCCTTCTTGCCGGCCCCATTGTTGTCCATATTCGACAGCTCAGTAAGTTTGTCGACTGATAACTTGATATCTTCAGCAGATATGGAGCTCAACGTGAGGCTTTTGAGCTGTTGCAATTGTTGCTTTTGATTGCCAAGTCGACGTTGGCAACAGTCAGGTCGTCACACTGCAACATTGTTACTTCTTAAGTTGTAGCAACAGTTGCTTTGGTTGGCCACGTCGAGATTGGTCAGTTTCATCAAACTGCATCATTTTTTCTTCTTTACTGATCGTTTTCAAAACGTTATGAAGTTTTTGAATAAACAGCGTTAACTTTTTATTTTAAGCGGGAGGGGGCGCATGCACATTCTCCCTCTATTTACTAAGGAGGATTGACAAGCTTCGATTTTAAAGTGAAGTTTCCCATTACAGAACTTAGAGAGTTGTACTATTCCAAAGAAAGTAGACATTGACTGTAAGAAATCACAATGGTGAATGAGGGTTATGTTGTGTAATAAAAGAAAACCATCTTATATACAAACAGTTAACTTGTAAATAATCTTCTTTTCAACAATTTCTGGTCCAAGATGTTTAATTAACCCTATAAACCACCCATGCTCACCCGTGCATACATGTAGGCCTTGATTATAGGCCTTCTTGAAATCCTCCGCAATGCTCCAGGAGAATTTCAAGTAGGCCTATAATCACTGCTATGCCGGAGAAGATTGCTGGAGAATTTTGCAGGATTGAGGTTATATATTTTTACATGAAGGCAGTTGGAGGATTTGGGTTTTAAATTATTTAACACACTGTACAGCCACATCAAGTTTCTTGTCATGAATTGTAATTCTATTCTGCAACTGCGCAATTAATTTATTGTGCACGACCTTGCATGGTGACCGATATGTAATGTTTTGTGAAATTGAACTCATCTGCATGATCTGGATGGTTTTAAATGAGTTTGCCCCCAAAAAAGCTTTACCGTTCTCTTGAGGTGTCCATAGCTAGGCCGGTGTAGAGAATGTTTCAACTGCTGTGAACAAAGAGGTAAAATAGAGGTAAAATAGCATGCTTTTTTTTTTAATACAAAATGGCGTCGGTCCATGCAAACAATGGTTTTAACTTAATACGTGGACACTACATTATTAGTACACATGTCCATGTGGACGATAAGCATCTTTAGCAGTCCTCAAACATATGCATAAAGTGAGCAAACAATATGACTGCATAAGAATGGAATATAATTGAAAATAAAAGTCTATTTACCACGGAAAGTACTCGTGCTGTGAAAAAAAGTATTATCGTGCTGCGGCTGCGTAATGATAATGAATGAGGTCCATTACATACTGCACCGCCCTCTATTGACGGGCCGAACTGGGTCAAGCATTTAATTGACAAGTACATATGTGCACAAGCCACTGGTGCATTGCATCTATCATTGCAAGTGAAATAAAACCCACAAAGTAGTACAACATGGAGGGATGACTCTACCAATATGTAGCTGAAGAATGGCGCAAATGGAGTCAAAGATTTGAGTTGTACCTGACGCATGACCACGAGTGGAATCGAAAAGAAAGCTGGCCCCGGTACAGTGTGAATGTATGCTTCATGTCATAGGTGAGGATGCATTGGAGATACAATACATTCACCTTAATTTGCTGCTTTAGCTTGGATACTCTCATGGAAAAGTTTGCAGCACACTTTGAACCACAGAAAAATGCTACACATGAAAGACAACTAGTGTTCAAAACCAGGGCACAACTAACAGTCAAATGAACCTGTGGATCAATTCATAACTGACCTCAGACTGAAAGGTAAATGATGTGAATTTGGGACATTGTGTGACAGTCTCATCAAAGATAGAGTAGTTGTTGGGATTACAAGTGACACAGTGAGAGGAAGACTGCTTCGTGAAAGAGAATTGACACTCATAAAGGCCATTGATATTTGCTATGCAGTTGAAGCTAAGTACATGTAATATAGTAAACAACTAGACAACATGAAACCCAACAGCAGTGACTGTAAGATTTATGTGACACGGCATTAAGATCTCTGCAGTGTCGTTTTACTGAGTGCTCATACCCAAGTGAAGAATACGTACAGGAGACAGCACAGAATATTTGGTGTTGTCCTAAGGAATCGTATTACAATGGGTTCTCATTGGACAGTGGGAGGTGGTCTGATGTGGTCTGATATGTCTGACCATACTATGGACCAACTAACATTGTTACATCTCCCTTTTTACAAATTCAAAACATTTGAATTGAATACATAAGGCCAAAAAAAAAAAGTCTCCGGTTTCTGGTATGCGCGCGCGTCGCCGTAGCCATGCGCGTCGGCAAAATGAAAAAGTTTTTTTTCAATGAAAGATGATGTCTCAAAACCGCCAAACTCACTGTTTTAACTGGAATCCTGCTGCTGCACAATTTTAACGTGATTTTAGATTGGGTTATGGTCGAGAATAAGCTTTATGTGGCCTCTCTAGACTCCCATATATTTGCACTAAGTTTAGTCGGGCACCATTTGCAGTCATCAGCACACATTTGAAGCAAAAAAATCAGGTAAAAAAAAAAAAAGGCCGCGTCACCGCACCACTTTTTGGGTAAGCTCCATACCAGAAACCGGAGACTTTTTTTTTTGGCCTAACTTAACTATGCTTTTTTTTAAATTAAATACAATTATAAAAAAGTACGGTATGAAAGGAATTGGCTTGGCTGGCAGGGCCTGAAGCTTCTAAAGTGAACCTCATGGCAGAATTATATGAAAAGCAATGGCCCGGCCTGAGAGTTTTGGGGCGATAGGATGGGGAGTTACTTAGAACACTCCTCCCCGGTGCTGCAAAGGAAGTGGTGCTTGTCACAGCAACTGTGAGCCAAAGCTCAAAGTCAATCTCCCCCCAGGAACGTGCGGGGTTTGCCTCCTGCCTGAGGTGGAACTGCTCATCATAGGCTTGCCAGCTAAGCCCCGGGAATGGTATGGATGCCGTGCGGATGAGCTCCGCATACTTAAAGCTATAGTCCATCATTTGCAGCCAAAAAGTAACTGGCGAATTATTGTTGAAAAACATACTTGGTTGAAAGATAGTAAGTGGACTAAACTCCCTGTGAAATTATTCTTTCTGGCAAGCTGTCATTTTGAAGTAATCAACGAAAGAAGGCCTTTCCAACGGTGCGTCTTAAGACGCACCGTAGGAAAATTTAAATTAGCAGTTCGTTTTGTTATTTGGAGCAGCGCGCGCAAGCGTTGGCACGACGCACAGGCACGCGCGGTTGCTATAATTCGTCGGATCAGTGCGCGACATCGCGTATAGCTGCAATTCAAAACATGATTCAGCAACTTTTGATTTGAAATTGAAATCCTAGAATGCTGTTTTTCTCGGAATAAACAGCTGAAGCTGAGCTGAAACTTCATCAGGTTAGTTGTTCAGTATCCTTCATTAGATTTTGAACACTTTTGTTGCTTTAAACGAACAAAATGCACAAATTACAAATGATGAACTATATCTTTAAGTTTAAGGAGTTCCATACAACGGGACAGTTGCTTAGTTATGTAAATCGACATAAACACATTAAATGCCGATTGCCACACATCAAACGCTTCAATCTTTTTGCACTGCACTCCTTGCTTCTATAGGGAGCGTCTCAAAAGTCAGAACGGTAACGTTCCGTTGGACCCTTCCATTGGACCATTCCAGCGTTCTGTTGGAACAGTCTGTGTGCCCGTCGGAACGGCGAGCGTTCCGTTGGACTGTTCCACCATTCCAGGGGAATGGTCCTTTTCCGCTGGGCACATGCATGTGCCCATCGGAGCATTCCGCTGGGAACGCAAACGGTCCAGTTGGGATATCCGTAATTGAGTATCATGCACCCATCTTAAACTGTTTTCTTTCGTTTGTGATGACGATGAGGTAAGTTGTTGAAATAGATAAGTTAGGCCTAATGTTATAAAGTTGCAATGGAAAAAAGTTAACAGTAATCTGCAGTTCGATTCAATAAAACATGAAACCCAAACAGGGAAAAAAGTTTGCTTCTGTGATACATCTTCAGTAACCGCAAGATTCGCGCGTGACTGCATGGCGTACATGTACGTAGGTATACCATGTAAACAAACACACACGCACACACACACACATACTGAAATTTGTATCACTGTCATGACTGTGGAGGCATTTCTTTGTTCTCGTGTAGTAAAGTTTTCGAGTTTGAAAGTGAAGTTTCAAAATGCTCTTATCTTAACCAGAATTAATTTCCTTGGCTGAAATTAGGACTTAATATCCCTTTTCTAAAACTCTTCCATTTGCGACCGATCAACCCACCTTGGAAATTCCTAGTTTTTGAGTAAAATCCTTGTATTTTGTGAAAACCTTGTGGAGACGTATTCATCTATAGAAATTGCCCTGTGGAGACGTATACAATCTTTTGTTCCCTATTGTGTGCATGTCTCCAGAAGGCACGATGTATCAGATCACAAAGATGCACGATAACCAATGTTGATGAGTACAGTACCACCCTCGCTTGGTTGGAAACCGTCATATCCGCACTTCGGCGAGTATATTTCCTCTAGAAGACCGTTCCGGCTGACTGTTCCGATGGAACATTCCGCCGGGCACATATGCCAGGAAAAGTATGGAACGGTCTGACGGAACGGTCCAACGTAACGGCAGCTGTGTTGCGGAACGCCCGGTGTTCCGCTGGGCACAATGACTGTGCCCAGCGGAATGGTCAGTGTGCCCAGAATGACATTACCCCCTTCAATAGCCAAAGTCATGCTGGCTGCATGCTGTTCATTGGACTTGGCAATGACCGCTGTTGCGGCGTCGTTATACAAGAGCGAAAAATCCACAAAAAAACCTTGACAAATTTTGTCACGCACAGATTGGGGGACATGTAGACAAGCGGGGAGGCAACACTAGGCGCTAAAGTTGGACAACCTGTCAAAGCATTTGATGTGGCAATATTAATCCCGGTACATACCGTTATTTCATTTTACCGTTTTGGATTTCCTCAAACTCAAAAACGGTAAACAATCCATTGACCCTTTTATCGTTTTACCTACAGTTTAGTAAAACGGTCAAACGGTATTAAGACAAATACGGTTTTTCCATTTTATTAGTTTAGTAAAATTCATTACAGCATAGCGATCAATGATTTTTGTTTTACAGTTTTACACACAAATAACCTTGAAAAACAGCAAAACGGTCAGTATTGAATACAGACTTTTTTTTAAATTTCAGTGTCATGGTTTAACAGTCAGTGGTGCATTTTTGGCGGTTGGCAAGGGGGATGGAGGGGGACTATGCCGTACACGAAATACATCGGCATAATTAATGCGTAGTGTGATTCCTGGCGAGACCCTGACTCCCTTCTCATGCAATTCATTAGTTGGTGGGGCTAGTTAAAGAGTTGCAAGCAAAAAGGCCCTCAAAATATGTACTTTTAATGTGACGTCTCATGTCACATGATGAGGTCACCGTGACGTCACTTAATGTTTCATCTATAACACATCCCGACCTAGGTACTTCCAAAGTTTCAACCCCATTGGCCTTCAAAATTTGCACTTTGAATGTGATGTCATATGTCACATGATGACGTCACCGTGACGTCACTTAAATGTTCATCTATAACACATCCCAGTTTAGGTACGGAACATACCGAGTTTCAACCCAATTAGACCTGTAGTTCTGTAGAAATTGGCCTTCAAAAATATGCAATTTTAATATGACGTCATATGTCACGTGATGATGTCATCGTGACGTCACTTGAATGTTCATTTATAACACATCCAGTTTTAGGTACATACAAGGTTTCAACCCAATCAGACCAGTGGTTCTGTAGATATTGGCCTTCAAAAATATGCAATTTTAATATGACGTCACATGTCACGTGATGACGTCATTGTGACGTCACTTCAATTTTCATCTATAACACTTTCCGATTTAGATACATAACAAGTTTCAACCCAATCGGACCTGCAGTTCTGGAGATTTAGGCCTTTAAATTATGTCAAGTGATGACGTAATGATGACGTCACATCAACTTT